TCCAGCTCTCTGCAGACTAAGGCTTAAAGTTAATTCAATCTTCACCTACTTTACATGTCTATCTTGCGCGCTTAGATTGAGTATTGGATCTACATGCCTATCACAATCCCTCTACTTACTCTACTTCTACATGAACTCAGGCACCAAACTCATATGCGGGCGGTCGCTAGACGTACACCTGCCACCCCCAGGCCTCTAAGCGCCGGCGCGACACTCACGATATTAAGATGACATTCCCGTATTTTCTCGTATATATTACCCATCCCCGCGATCGATAGGAAATCTAGAGAACAGATCTCCGCCTTTTATACAATTCTTATATTCCTCCCAGTGAACCTTTCTCCCAATACCTAAATGGCCACAGGAAATCAAACCTCAAGCCAACAGTCCCCTCCACGGCAGGCAGGAGGAAACCAGAGCCCTCGTATTAATGGGGGACCAATTCCAACCATACCTACCGTAACAATAACTTATGTTGCGCCTACAGTCCCAACAGTCCAGAAGGTATCCACCGGCATTCCTTATCAATGGGTCACGCCAGGTACTGTTATCAATACTGCATTTTTATGGAACAACCCGGCTGTTGTTGGGGATTTAGAATTTTGGGTTGAATCTCGGAGAGCAAAGCTTTCGGACGACGAAAAAGCAAGACTTGATAGCATTGATGAGACGATGAAAGCACTGGAAGATCCGGCTTGGTACTGTGAGTTTAATTACAACGTGATGGATTTCACAAAATAGAAGATATACTCTATTCCGGCCAGGGACTGATCGGAATGCAAACAAAGACTGGCCGACCTGGGATCAGGCCTTACAATGTGGAAGGCATGGCACAGAACAGGAACTACGTCGCTCAATACCTACATTAATGTGGACAGATGAACAACCTATGAGCGAAATATATACCCCGATTGCTCAAATCCTGCAGGATGCAATTAAGAAGAACTTTCCACTCGAGGGGAATTATTGGGTTGCATTCAGGGACAGACCATTAGATAATCTGGGGTTCATCGAAAACCTGTCATTACATAAAATTATTTACTTCGTGGGCGAGAAGGGAGGTGGTACGGACTTCGATTACAAACGTTGGCCTAAAAGAGGGAATTCATATCGACACATGTAAGTAATTCACCAATGATATTGACTACTTTACAATTATATGGTTATACTTATTATATGTTCGTTTAAAGAATGTTCCCTCTCAATAAATACCTGTGGATTAGAGTAAGTGCCTTTTCGTGATACAGAACCATAATTTTACACAGTTACACATTACTAGTGTCTAATTAAAGATCGATCATTATCAATAGAAGCTTGACGATCTTTTCAAGGATATCCACCTGCCTCCGCCGTACGGGCCTGTCCTCACTTCTGATCCTTTTCGTGCTTCTATGTGCAGAGGCTACTTCAATACTTTTGCAAAACCAGTTGTTGAATGCCAGCCGTCAGTTGGCAAGGCGTACAAAATTACGATATCAATGCCCATATTACATGTCACCTTGGGCTCAAAGCTTATTCCGAAGAAAACGGCTGAGAGGGTTCTAAGGCATCATCCATCATTTCTTAGAGCACCAGGGTATGAGTACGCAGAGACCTATATTGATCAAGACGGCAAGGAACAGCCTAAGCCTGGCGCCTGGATATATGGAAGCGCACTTGACCATACTGGTGTCGGTTTCTCTGCAGCTAGTGACTACGACGGGAGTACTTCTGGCACCCCTCCTACAGTTTTTACTGGACGCACGCTTTTCGAATACCATCATCCTAAAATGGATGCACTCATCCTTGATCTTAGACAGACTATGCGAAGAGGAAATAGGGGTCACTATGACGATGATGAGTTCCTTGTGGTTGAACAGCTTTGGGCAGTAATTATTCCAACAAAAGGTATGTTTAGTTTACCAGAAAGCTCTTCAAATAAAATGTTAACCGCAGTCTTGTCAATACCAATAGAAACCCTCATTACCTTTCAGTCAATGAAACCAGCTGTTATTCCAGGCCAAGTTGGTGGATTCAATAGTTACATGTTCGAACCAAACGTAAGTCTAACTGCTCAACCCGATATATGATTCCTTAATTGGTTAAGTAGGTCTAATATTTATTTTGTTTCCTTTCTTTTAGAAAGGCATGGATGTGACACCTCAAGGACCAGTTCATGGTTTCTTTATATACTTCGCTGATCTTGTTTTGTTAAAACACTATCATATACTAGAGGTCTTCAAAGAAGGCACTGCTGGACTGGTGCATACCCATTCTCATTGATAATTTATACTACCCCTCCAAAACAAATGCTTAATTTTGTTTAGAACTTCCGAGTAGCGCACAAACCTATAACCGATGATGAGCTGGTTGCCGATTGCAATTCCGTTATCTCCGAAGTTGCAATAATTTTGGAAATCACAAAAAAGCAGATGGAGATTTTAGACATAATAAAAGAAGCTACGGTGGACAACACCCTCCGGCCAGAGGAGCTTGCAGCTACCAACGAGTTCTACAAGTATATGATGGCCCGGTTTGAAATTATGGTAGCGGCTTTCGAAGATATTGGGGCAGAAGCAAAGCAAGCTCAAAGTTTGGTATGAGCTTACGACCCCACTCCACAGAATTGATGAGTAGAGGCGAAAGATATCCATGGATCTACTTACTGATAATGATTGCTTGGTATAGCTTTTCCAGCTTCTCAACACGGAGGCAGCAAAGCAGCAGGCGATAATGGCGGAGCAGCAAGCAATCAATGCAAGACAAGCAGCTGAAGAAACGGCAGTTCAACTTGAATTATCTAAAGAAGCCGCTAAACATACGGCAGTTCAACTTGAATTAGCAAAACAATCCACTGAGCAAAACAAATCATTCTTGGTCTTTACTATTATAACTACCATCTTCCTTCCGTTGTCCTTCTTTACTTCGGTACGCCCACCGCCCACTACCCCTCATTAAAAAGGAGTACTCTGACCAATCATTTCTTAATGTAGTATTTTGGTATGAACACGGTCGACATTCGGGATATGGAATGGGATCAACGTTACTTTTGGAAAACTGCCGGGCCATCATCAGCGATGATCATCCTGGTGGTGATGTGCTGGGCGTTTAGGGCACAGATGAAGAGGGGGATTGGTATTTTATTTCGATCGAAATTGAAGCCTGCCCAGAGTGATGAAGAGTCTGCGATAGGAAGTCTAGAAAAAAGTGGCCAGGCTACGGGGAAACGAGGCAAAAGCTCTTGGAATCCTTTTGGCCGAGGCGTGGATAAGAATGATTGACGAATCATGATGAACTATAGTATTGTTTATTTTTTATATATATTACTACATGCAGAAAATGTACTCAATGATCAATGAATCTCTTCATAAAACCTCGTCAGAATCTACGGTGCTGCAAGTACTGCAGATAGTAAATACTTGATATCACCTCGAACAACTTGGGGCGGGCTCGAGCACCCGGGTCGAGTGAGCGACCATGTGCTAAGCGTGCTATTTTTTTCTCTTTTTTTCTTTTTGTTTAGTTCATTAAGCTAAGCGTGCTAGATTTCTTCAGATTTGAATATGCTTAAACTCCCCATCTCCCAATCCAGTATTATGACATACAATCATACACACAAGTATGTGCCACGTGATTAATTCTACAGGTCTAGGCAGCCGAGGCATGGGCGTCCCCGGGGATGGTCGTAGGCCTGGCGTCCTCGATTTCCAAGTTATTACATCTCTTCATGCAACCTCGGACGCATAGCGCCCAACGTGCAATACGAGGCCCGACATCTTGGCTATATAAAAGGGCTTAATTGACGCCCTGGATCTATCGTGCGTGGCAGTGGATACGTTACATGTAGTTGGCTACTTGCCCATCTTTGATAAACCCTCATTTGTTATCGGGCGTAAATAAGGATGGTTCTAATGTCTATTACAAAGACGTAGTGGAAGGTATTTGTGATATTATTAATACTAGAGCTTTCCAGAGGTACAGCTATTGGGCTTAGAAACAGCCAGAAGTCGATAGAAATTCACATCATTTTTATTTGGGCAATTGTCGAGTATATACGTATATGTTAATCTCCAAACTACTATATGCAATGTCTGTTATCACTGCATATGGACAACATTACTAGTATGGAGGTACATGTATTGTGGGTTGTCAAAAATAATGGGACGCAACAGGCTTCATTGCAACGTAATAATCTCTCAACCATGACCGACCACAAAGAGACCACAAACAGGATAAGTGATAATAAGAACTACTGGAGACCCAAAGTGTATTTTCGTTAGTATTGTCGTTCGTTGGTGGCGGGGTTGGGTTGTCGTTGCTGTATTCGTTGCCCCGTTGCGTCCCATTATTTTTGACAACCCGCAATACATATGTAATTCGTAATTCGATCATCTCCAGCTATCTATAAGATGAGCCATATGTTAGATGTTGTCCTGGTCGTAGGGTCACATTGTCTCTAAGTACGTGCTCCTATGAAACTGTAAAGTTATGACATACGTAACTCTTGAAATAATTATAAATAGGCCATGCTATGGGCTTAACCTCTTTTCTTTCCGTCATCCTCAATACAACACAGTTCTAAGCTGCCATATTCCAAAAGCCTGTGCCAAGTAAGCACACTAGACTCATTACAAATCCGAATAAAGAAAGACGAAGGAGCTGTTCTGGCCCTTCCAAGAAGGAGGCATATTTCTGGAAAGCCGACATTCGTGGGTGATCAGAGCCGATATCACGACCGAGTGATATGTTGTGAAGGAATACTTCGGCCTGGCAATATTGGCCTTATACCTGGTAAGATACTATGCATATTGTGGCTTATGACGAGTGAGAAAATATGATGTGACCCTCTACGAGTTAATACCGCAGCTAATAAAAATTATATTCAGCGCTAGGATTCCAAGTTCGTTAGTCAATAAAATCTGCTATTTAACCCAGCATAACAGTGCCTACAATATATATCCGCACCTTCTTCATAACACATCTTCGTCAAACAAAAGAAAAAAGAGAAATATGAAAGAGGACTATAGTTTCGCCTCGATGCCCTCACTCTTCTTAGCCCACTCCTTCACCTCCTTCACCATCAACGCCTTCACGTCCTCAACCGTCAATCCACCAAGTGTCAACCCCGCTCTATCTACGGCTACCTCCTCCAACGTCACCGGATGCACCCGATACTCACCAACTTTCACTCCCCCCTCCTTCCGACCAAACACAATGTCCAAGAACTCTGCCATATCCTCGAAACTCCTCCTTGATACCGCAAGATGAGGTATAGTCCCCTGGAACACATGCGGCATTGATGTAAAGTGAAGAAACCGAAGCGACGCCCCCAACTCCACTAGCCGGTGCGCAAAGTAGAGATTCGCATCACGAAGACACTCATCACCCACACTAATCCACATTGGAGGAGAGCCGGACCAGCTCTCCGCCATAATAGGCGACACAAGCGGGTGCGCAACAAGGGCGTCGTGTGTATAGAACTGTCTCTAGTTAGGAACTATCCACCAATTATATAGGTGTTCTAGGGGGATACTGACATGCGACCTCCCAACATCCTCCGGCCACGCAGGCGAGTATTTGTACTTCCTTGCGCGCTCTTCGCGCGGAGTGGGGAGATAGTCAAAGCCCTTACAAGACTCCTCGCTTCCCACCGTCCCGTCTTTATGCGTGAACCTCTCGCCGAAGCAGCGGCTCACGTCTACCCACGGGCTTGCACCCACAATTCCACATGGAAGTGGGGCCTCATGGGGAGCGCCTTGCCATGTTATTTTGGGCGCGTGCATGGGACCGGATAATGGTATCACTTCGTAGCCGTCCTCGTTGTCGCCCGCGCGGTGGAGGTGGAGAAGCAGCTGCAGGAGGGCAAAAGAGAGATTTCCACCAGCGGAGTCACCGGCAATGATGATCTTTGAGGCAGGAATGGGCTTGTGGAGCGCACCGGGTGGTGGATGGAGGAGATAAAGGTAGGCGGTGAGGGCGTCGAGAAGGGCGGCGGGGAATGGGTTTTGGGGTGCAAGGCGGTAGCGTGGCATGAATACTCGGCCTACAGATGAGAATATGTGGTAAGTCTCTCCAGTCTATCGAAGCTAACTAGGTGATATAGGGCCCCATTCCCAGACTCGTAGGTGCAGATTTTAAAATATGCATGTATCAATAGAAGATAGTCCGGGAGCGGTCATGCACGTGCGAGCCATTGGGATCAATTACCTTTAAAGGACTTTGCAACCTTGCGTGCTATCGGCCGATGAGTGGAGGGGTCACAGAGCCTATCAAGTCAGTAACATGCACCAAACCAAGAGATCTCTATAAATTACCAATAAGCGCCTAAAAACCAGCGTTAGAATCATTGACATTAACTACAAGCTTCAAACAAATCAGGGAAAACATTTATACCTCCATGCAACCATAGGACAACACCACTCTCCTCACCGCCCTCAACCTCCTTCATCATACTCTCATACTTCTCCTCCTCACTCCATTTCTCACTCTCCCCCTCAACCTCTCCCTTCGCCACCGTCCTGCTCCCGATCCACTCTCCCGTGGCAGCACTCACCCCAACCCTCGGTATGAACCGCTCAATATCCTCACCACTTGCCAGGTCGACAATCGCCTTCCTCACCATATCCTCCAGCGCACTTTGCTCCTCGACACTACCGACAGGAACGTCCACATCCACCTTCCAGGTATTTGCTGCGACAGCCAGCGGCTTCAGCGTCGTGGCCTGGATCTCCTCGATGGTGACCCCCTGGTTGTCGCGGCTGAGGTATGAGCGCAGGAACTCGACGGTCAGCGTAGTGCGCAGGTCCCAGTAGGTTGACTGCGGCGTCAGCGAGAGGAGGTGCCCGGCGGACTTGTAGAGCATATTTGGGACGGCGGGGGCGACGAGGCGGAGGAGCGAGAGTCGGGAGGGCTTGCTGGGGGGGTGGGGTTCGGTGGACATGGTGTATTGGGCGTGTATACTGACTGGAGTTTACAGGAAGTCACTGGTGCTGGTTCTGGTAGAGGGAAAGAGCGGGGAGAAAGAAGAGAGGGCGATAGAGAGAGCTAGAGGGGGGAAGCCTGCCGTGAGACCTTCCAGCTAAGTACCCGGGAACCCCGTGCGAGTATTAGCCCATAACCCTTTTTGCCATTGCCACAGCCTGCCTCCTCCTCCTCCTCCTCCTCCTCCTCCTCATGCGTTATCTCTATCTGCTTCCCTTTTGGCAAAAACCGACAGGAGGCCGAGGTGGGGCTTTATCTCCATTATTGTGCATATAGTACAGGAGAGCGCTGCCAGCTGCCCACTCGTTCTGTTCATTTCCATCCATGGGCACCCCCAATATGTTGACCTGTCAAGCTGTAAATATCCGTCTTTGTGGAGAGTGTTCCAACTTCCAAGGAAAGTTCCCTCGTTCCTCGGCCCAACAAATATTACGTCTCCCACATGTCTGTCTGTCTGTCTGGGGAACCTGCCTGCCTGCCTGCCTGCCTGGGCGAGGCGGGGCAGGGGGGAAGAAGTGACCAGGGCAAATCGATCTGATCTGCACAGCAGAGGTTCACGGATGTGGGATGAGCCGAGGGGGCGTGGCAGACTAGGCCTAGTTGGTGAAGCTCGGTTAGATGGCGCGGTGTCGCTAATCTGGTGGTTACGTAAGAGGGCCTTCCTTCTCTTGGCGGTGAGTGAGAATCTGTGGAGGAGGGTAAGATTGTACTTGATAATTCGCTGTTCTCTAGGGTCAGTCGTTTGTAACTAACTAGAGCAAAGAAGAAGCACGGGTGTTTACCAGTTTGTTCTACCAACGACACTTTGGTGTGCACCCTCCCATCGCTTTCCTTTCCTATACGTACCACGTCCTAAACCTGTCTCCAGCTCCTAAATTGCAAATATCATTCAACCACAAATTCCACAGTGGACCCTAGAAAATCTAGAGTAGAGTAGAGCAGAGCAGAGTAGGGCTGTATATACCATACATTACCCCCGTATTTCATCATAGCCATCTAAAATACAGTCATGCCATGTCATGTCATGAATTGAGTCGTCCCAAAGCCCATTAATTGCAAGTTGCCGATTACCTTCTATGTACCCCATCCGCCCCCCCAGATGCCCGAAACGCCCAATAATTAATTACAAAAGAAAGAAAAAAACTCCATAATAAAAGAACGAAAACCAGCAGAGCTACCACTACTGCTGCTAGACGATAATGTCCATAGTCAAGTCCATCTCCAGTCCATAACTAACCCCTCTTTCCTCCTCAACGCTTCTTCCTCAACCCCCTACCCCCCGGCATCGCCCAGTCATTAATCTCACCCTGCAGCGCCCCCACCGTGGGGTTCGGAAACGGCCTCTTGAGCCTGTTACTCCCCGCCTCGGACTCCCAGCGCGCAACCTTGAGCTCATCCGAGTTCCTTGTCAGGATGTCGGGGATGGAGAAGTACTGCGCCGAGAGATTGTCGGGCGTGAGCGTGAGCTCAAAGTAGCCGCGGTAGTAGCCCTCGGCCCATTTGAGCTCCGCATTGTCGGCGACGAGGTTGGCGGCGACAGTGTGTGCGTCGTCGTATGAGAGGGCGCCGTAGCCTGTTTGTTCACTGTCAGTCAGATATGATGGGCCAATGATTAGATGGGTGGGTGTTATTATACGCACCACAAGAGCTCGTGACCGACGTAACCGCCAGTTCAATACCCAAAGACCCATTCCCGCCCACTGGCTCATACCCGCCGCCTCTTCCACCCTCATCGCCATCCCACGTCAAGTCCGCCGTCCAGAGCGTATGATAGTCCCCCGTGAGCACGACCAGGTTCTCCACGCCATACTCAACAACCTTCTCCAGGACCCTCCTCCTATTCGCGCGATAGCCCGCCCAGCCGTCGTAGTAGAGCGGCGCGTCCTTAGACCACGGCACCGCCGTCTCATTGAGGTTCGAGAACTGGATCTGCTGGCCAAGGATGTTCCACGTCGCGTTGCGCGCCCGCGAGTCCGACAGCTCGCCGTAGAGCCATTTCTCCTGCGGGGCGCCAAGGATGGAGCGGTGCTCTGCGGCGATGGTGGCGGCGTTTTCGCTGCCGGCGTCGCGCGAGTAGTAGCGCGTGTCGAGCATGATGAGGGATGCGAGCTTGCCGAATTTGAATGTGCGCCAGATGCGCAGGGAGTCGTCGGCCTGGACTTGGCGGATGGGCATCCATTCGAAGTAGGCGCGGATGCCGTAGTGCATGCGCTGCTCCCAGGACGTCCATTCGAGGTACATCCAGAACTGGGAGGCGGTGCTGCCGCCGGTGTAGCCGTTGTTTGCGACTTCGTGGTCGTCCCAGACGGGGATCCAGGGGAAGAGTTTGTGGTTGAGAAGGAGGTCTTCGTCGGTGCGGTAGGTGGCGATGCGGAGGCGGTAGTCGCGCAGTTGGATGGTTTCTTTGTAGGGCTTTGGGATGCGCTCTTTGAGGATTATGGGCAGGGGCATCTCGTAGATGTAGTCGCTGTTTGGAGTAGTTATTAGTATTGTAAAAACAGTTGTGAAAAAAAAAGGAAGGACCAATGATAGAGATAGAGATGTACACACCCAAGATGCAGCACATAGTCCACAGAGTCCTTCCTCGCGACATTTCCATAAGCGTTGAAATACCCCTCTGCATAATTCGCACACGAATACACGGCAAACCGCAGACCTCCAGGCACCTCATCATCCTCCGCGGGGATAGTCTTTGTGCGCCCCACCTCACTCACCTCCCCGCCCGGCGCCCCGCACGCCCGAAACCGGTACCAGTACGTGGTAAACGGCTGCAGCCCCTTCGCCTCCACCTTTACCGTGTAGTCGACCTCCCCAGACGTCGACGTCTCCCCGCCGTCTACAACGTTCATAAAGTCCTCCGTGGCCGAGATCTCCCACGCCACGCAGACACGGGCGGAGGCGGAGGCCCCGCGGTAGAGGTGCTTGGTGGAGTCGACGCTCGCGGGCACGGCGCGAGTCCATAGAATCACGGAGGTGTCGTAGGGGTCGCCGCTGGCAACGCCGTGCGTGAACTGGAGGGGTGTGACCGTGGGGGTGGAGCGCTTTGTGAGGTGTGCGGCGGGGCGGGGGATCTCGAGACCGGGGTGGTTTGTGGAGGGGGAGCGAAAGTTTAGGTTTTCGGCCAGTGCAAGGGGCAGGCACAGGAGGAGTGTGAGTAGCAGCTGCTGCATCGTTTGTGGCTTGCTGCTGGCTTAATGCTGGCTGGCTGGCTGGCTGGATCTAGAAGTGCGGTTGTCAAAAAGCAAACAGGCAGTCGAACGGCACTCTCCACGCAGCAGTGAACGAAGGAGGGAAGAGATGGGAGATGAAGGGATGGATGATGATGATCAGAAAGCCGCATACATAAGGGACTGTAAGTATAGTATGTAGTTCTTCTTCTTCTTCTTCTTCTTCTTTCTCCTTCCTGTGGGGAGAGAGAGGATATGTGCTTGCTCTTAATCTCCCCCTCTTCTTCTCCTCGCTGGGGACGCACGTGTGGGCCTATGTGTGTATTTACTCTTCCCCCCTTCCCTCCCACCACCGGCTCCGTCCCTTCCCGGCCTCTGGATGTTCGCCTTCCCGGTCGTGATATGATGATATATGCAGAGGGAATCATGTCCCAGGATTCAGGAATCCATGGTGACGTGTGAGGCTTAAAGCAACCGGGGGACGCTGGTTACCTATACTCCATGACTATTAACTACGACCCTCTACCTACTCATGACGGGTCTTTATCCTATTGGGATCTGGGGGCGGCATTTCTATCTACCGGTTCCTGTTTAACCTTAGGTAAATTATAAACCCCACTGCTGGAGAATATCGTCAAGTTCGTGGTAGGTGGGTCCTAGGGGAAGGGTAGAGCAAGCCTACTGGAGACAGAAGAGAGTCTCGCTACTCGGGCTTCATGGTTGGTGCCTCCGGAAGAACCTCAGAACGCTGCAACTGCAGGGTTCGTTCGGGGCCGGGGTTACGCCGAATGTCTAGCTGACGACAGGGCAAGGTTGCGGCAGGGTTCGGGGATTTGTCAATATCAGAGTCAGACGTCGTGGGAGTCTACTTGTGAGGGAAGTGATTATAATTAAGAAACAGCTTGTGGGGTTGTAAAAGTACATGTACTTTAGTTGGTGGGGTCATATTAAGAGCTATATGTATTCATGGCAGTCTTGAGTCGAGTTCAACGGCTGTGACGAAACCAAGCTATTAAATGAGAAGGAAGGTGATGATGATGCATCAACAGGACTGCTAGCTAGTATTTACGGATTTCGAGGACAGACTGCCAAGCTACAGTTCGACAGTCACGGCGTGTATATATACCGTACTACGCCAGTGCCTTATTAGTAACCGTAATAATAGAGTATGAACATCCCCCTGGCATGCATCGCTTCAGCAACCCAATCTGGCTTTAATTAGCTGTGTACTCTATCTCTCCATGATATTTCAGAACCCTACAGATACATGTAGTTAAGGTTAAAACAAACCCCCCCAAAACTCCCAAAACCCAGTGCTACCACGGTACGAATCTCAAAAGCGCCCACGTCACAAACCTTTCCAATTTGCAGAAGGTCTATGTATCTACATAGCAAATTACACCCGACTCGACAAAGAAAACAGGCCATGTAGTTTGTTGTTCTCATATCGACCGACAATTAACTCATGCAACATTCCTTACCGGCGCTCATGAACCCAACCCGATACCTACATGTATACATGTAGTGTAGCGACAAGCACTTTTACCAGGTAACCCATGCTGCACACGTATGTAGGTACGTATTCTCCTCTACTCTATATCTACCAGCTTCCACTAGCGGCTTAATACCTCCCCCACCCCGCCCCCTTGCAGCGAGCTACAATGTAGATAGATGTCTTGTCACCGCCACGGTTACTGTCAGTCCGGGGTAAATACACCCCAGCCCCGTATCCTGTGCCACCATGGCGCAGGGCTAGCTAAGTTCTTGGAACGAGACTTGACTTATAAGTGTACCGGGCGTTGAGGTAAATACGAAGAATCTGATAAGGGAATCTTGCTGTGAAATATGTAGGTGTGTTTATCTTATCAGGTTCTCGGTATTTATGGTTGAAAATAATGTAGCACAAGTTAGCCAAGAGCTAGTATAGTTTGGAGTACATACATGAGCTCTTGATGGCCAATTAATTGATTGCGCTGGATGATCTAATTAAAGCAGCGAGTGAGAGAAAGTGAACTAAAAGTGTAGCTAAATAAGAGTCATCTGTGCACGTGAACTCAAGTGCAAGTGCATAGGTACATGTAGGATGTGCACTTCACGAGTACTCAATTGGTGGCTAGCTATAAGTTCTAGATATTTGTAGATAAAGACGGACCGGCGAGGAGGATCCCGAAAAATCAGGCAAACCATTAGCTCTGTTTTAGAGACCACAGCTAGCTAGATCTAGTGCCGGTTGTTGGCTGCTATATAGTTGTTGGCTTCTGGCTTCTGGTACAATTAAAAGCCTACCTCAACTCACCCTAAATAACCCTACCTCTTCATCCTCAATCTGATACCACCTCGGCCTTGAGGCCTACAGTTCATAAACGGCAAATACTGGCTTTTATCGACTAGAAAACCTTGACCCCGCCTCTCGACGAGTTGTTAAACAGTGTGCGTGTCTTCAGATATAACAATTAAAGTCTAAGGCTCCGTTCAGACGAGGAAAGAAATGATAGTACACCTGAAAGAAGAAAGTCCGTAACTGACCTGAGACAGATAAGTCATTATTTTCCGGCCTGATCATGGAGTTCGGAAGACAAAATTATCAGGCCCCGCAACATTGAGGATCGGATCCAGGTATTATCAGAGAGGTCTCTTTACGAAGCCCCAATAATTACCTCTCGATGTAATTATTTGAAAGCCACCAAAACCTCATTGTCCTTAACTCACTTAATGGATAAGTTGGGCTGTCGTCCGAACACCACATTACAGAGCTTTCTTCCTGCTTCATTATTCTACCATACAAATCTGCAACAATTCGGGCGGTCCGAACGGAGCCTAAGCCGCCTCGAGTCTAGACTGAGCTGGTTGACCACTTCACTACTCTTACAGATGACAGGATATAAAGTACCGCAGCTGAACCGAGAACGAAAAGGTGAGATACGAGGATGAGGATCCTGAGGCCTAAAACAATTAATCTGGCTTTGGGTCGAAGTGATTCGAGGCTACAACGGCAATATGAGGAGATGGAGACGAATTGTTGCACAAGACAGTGTAGAAGACGGTTGTGGGAGTTAATGGTGAGAGATGAGTACATGTAGTTTCTATTTGTCCCAACATATAAACAAAGTGTATATTTCCCAATGACATTCTCATTACTGATTATGTACTGTAGAATATGTCAACACGAAGTACAGCTATCCCCACATTTTTGTTACCTCCCAAACTGCAATCTTCCAGAACACAAAAGCAGACACCCAAACCGGATGGTAATATATATTGTCAACCCGCCTACACCTAGCCAGCATCCAGACCAAACACAGCTCACCCCCGTCTACCTATGACCCCCACGACTATATTCGTTATCCCACACGCTATTATCAGCGTTGGCCAAAATCGGTCTTTCACCACTCTCCAGCTGCCCCGGCGTCTCATACGTAGTCTGGCCATTATTCAACAGCCTCGAGTTCTCGTCAATAACGCTCTCGATATCATCGTCATTATTCTCCAGCGCCCTCGCCCTCTCGTCAGGCCTAATCCTCAGTCCCGCAATAGCACGGCTCGTCCCATTATGCTGGTCGCCATTAACCGGCCCATCCGCCAACAGCCTCTGCGTGCCCGGTGCCTGGTTCTGCTTTCTACTATTCATACAGTAGGAAAGAAAGATAATCCCCTTAACTCACACCGTCAGCTCCAAAACACCCACCCAACACGCCACAAACAGGAGCCATATATACCTTGCTCAGCAGCGTCACCGCTGCAACCATCATAAACACACTGGCCGACAACTGGTGTGTCTGGCTCCACGGCTGATAGCACGGCGTACGCGTCTTACTCTGCAACGAACACTGCTCCGCCTTCGTATCGTTATCCGGGAACGGCCACGCCTGGTCCTTAAACGTGTTGAACCCGCAGCAGTTCAGCGCCTCCTGGACCGCCTTGATGTGGGCCGCGTCCTTTGTGCGGAACCAGGCCCGCCATGTCCGCTCGAGCGTGCAGCCGATGGCAGACTTGGGCATGTTGTTGAGCGACTGGGTCACGACGACGGTGTCAATGATGATCAGCAGGATCGAGATCTAAGTTTCATTTTTTCATACTGTCAGTCTCGGATCCAGCAGGCGGTACCGGTGGGGCTAGCGTGTGAGGAGGGGAGCTCTTACGATGCCGGTCTTGATGTCCCATTCGGGCCGCCTGTTTTGGGCGCCGCGCGGCCTTTTGGCGATGTAGCGCATTGCGGCAAAGTTGGCCGCGGGGAGGAACGTTGCGGCTTCGGCGAGCCCAGGGGTGATTGGTATATTGACCTTTTCCACTACGGACCTGCAATTAATTGGTTGGGGTCAGTTCCGAGTCTATATACACAGCGGGTAGATAAGCTAGCTATAGCTGGGGAGAAGGCAAACATACCAAAAGTATGCTGCGAGCACGACGAGGCCGGTTGAGAGCTATCGAGCAACATGAGTAAATACCCGCAAAGGAGATCTGGCTGGAGATGGCTTACCACGCAGAAAGCTGTGATTATGGGCGAATGATTGAATGTGAGCCTGCGTATTAGTTCTCGAGCCGTGGAGTTTGACATCTTTGCGATTGTGGTGGGCCTTCTTCCTGCCGGTGGTCTTACAGAGGTTGAGGTTGATGGCAATTGACGAGTGTTGTAGAGAAGAAGACGAGAGCTCTTATCTTAGACCTTTTCTTCTCTTTATGAAGAGGGGTTGGTAGGTAGGGATACTTCTAGGCAGCCAGGTTACGGCCAGTGGTGGTGTAGGGTGAGGTGAGGGAGGGTTGGGAGTTGACGCGTGCTGCCCCTGGAAACTGGGACTGAAACCTATGGGGGAGCGCTCGAAAGCGGTGAACACTGCTGTCTGGCACTGCACCTGGCTGGATCGGGCCAATTGGCCGTTTCTGGTACTTGTGAAGGTAGGTTATACAGCCCAACGGTTTCGATAGCACAAACCAAACGATATGGTTTTTCCGCTATCGTACCGCGCGGAAATTTGGCTAGGTATTTCTTTCGATCGGCGCTGGGATATGGGGAATCATGAGCTATCACTCATGGCGGTGGATTGCCTGAATTGCTTGGCGGTTGCTAGCTGGGTTTGGGGATTACTACCAGCACTAGCATTAGTAGGAGGCCTTAATCGAAATAGGACATGTAATTTCTATAGTCGTATTAAGCACTGCAGGAATATTGCGGGGAGTGTTAATACGAAAACCCCGAAAGAGTGTACCAAAGGTGAAATTATGACGCCTATATTCTCCTGGCTTACTTGGTACACTCTCTCTTTGATTCGATATGGAATGCCTGATTACTATCTCGACGGTGATAAGAACTGACGTTGGGTGCCTTAAGTAGTGAAGAGATTTACTTGGGCATGGCATTGGACGAAGCTGCTTTATAAGACGATGATATTAAAATAAGTTGGTAAGGTGTTGAGCTCTACATATGGAATTCACATTTATGGTGTTGCGGCTTTTGGTGAGATTGTTTCAATCTTAGAGGTTGATTGATTGATAATTCATCGGAAGGCAACCAAACCACACCAAAATTCGCCAAAAGTTGGTCTAAATGCAACCACCACCCACAACACAATTGCCATCAATAATAAACAAGGCTTTAGGGGGTGAAATATTGACTATCAAATTTAATAAATATAAAAGGGCACTCTCTGGAGTCAAATGTGGAAGAAGTTACATGGGCTAGAGGTAGAGAGATTTGGAGATTTGGGTCTTGGCGCATTTTTTGCAGCTCAACGTAACAAAACCAACACAACTCATGCTAGAAGGGCAGTATTGTAACTTTCAGCTGATAGATCGATTATTCATATGCAAGAAATATAGCCTTCCAATTCTCAGAAAGAATTCATGACAAGTGGTGGTCTAGGACCATGTTGAAAAGTGGCATTTTTTGGTGTAAAATGGTTGCCTTCCGATGATTTACGGCCTAGTGTCACCATAGAATAATTCTAGGAGAGCTAATTTCTGTACTTCCTCCTTCGATATATGTTCCTGTACAAGCTTTTCATATTACTCTCCGATTCGTGAAGCGTTTCCTGGCCATTCTTCAACTTCTTGAACCCTTCAACGGCATTACCCAGCTTCTCGAGCATCTCAAGGTCATCCTTCAACTTCGCTATATTCTTCGAGTGCTGTGCCTAGTCTTGAAATAATTACTCCGCCAAGTCATTGGCTTTCTCACCTTCCTGAGCACGCAACGCAATAGTGGTGTCAAAACCATTCTTAAAATACACCAAAGCCTCCGAAATCATTTCCAGCTTCTCCCCGAAAAGCTCGCGCCTCACCTGAATCTCTGAAACCTCCTCACGAAGCAAGTCAATACTCTCTTTATGGCAATCCTAGTCCTTAAGGAGAATCTCAGCGCCATCCTTCTTCCTCTTCTCGCGGGCATACTGGGCCTTTCTCCTCTTACTCATAGTATGTCTTGCTCTGGCTAAGATATGGGCCTTCCATAAGAAGAAGCCGACGTGGTCCTTGTTATACTTTGCGTTGTCGAGTATCACGCAAAAGTTTGGTGGGAATTTTATTTTGCAAAGGACCTCGCAGATGCCCTCTTTGTGTAGTGTGTGCATGCGGTGGTCAGGGAGGTACTCGCCGATGATGTCCAAGAGGCTCTCCAGAAGGTTCTCTTTAATGTTAAGGTGTGTATAGAGATGCAACTGTGTGTATGCTCTACGGTCTAGTACTTTGATTTCTTCGCTCTCGCCCATGGGCCGCCGCGAGGTGGAGAGGAGGTAGCATGGGGCCGCGGCTGGGGGAGCGGGTTGCGGAGCGGATCTGGAGGGTTGTGGGGTAGGAGCCTTTTTGGCGGCTTTCTTGCTGGAGCTTCTAGTTCTGTGGGGCTCTATTAGTACGGAGATGAGGAATGGGCAAGGAAATGGAGTTAACCACATTATTACTCATGTAGATGATATGTTGATTGGTCGGAGGGCTGCGTTGATCAGGAATTCAATTGCTCTTGGAGACGTTGTAGTTTTGTGGAGTGATGGTAAACAAAGCTTTATTTAAGGAATTGCGCCGAGAAAGATTTCGGCCAAACAGCCAAGCCAGCCGCTGGGGAATATAAAAGAGCGGGCGTGAAAGAGCGGACAAGAAAGAGCGGACAAGAAAAAGGTGGACGAGAGATTCCAACAGCTACAGAGAAAACCCTACATAGATCACGAAATGATTCTCTACTACGTACTAGAAAATGAAAGGTACAGTCCCCGGATCTTGTGTATGCTATTTTCTGGCATTATGATAGGAAGGTTAAGCTTAGGGCCATGGGATCCGGAGATCTTCTGAACAGCAAGTCCACATCGAGTGATAATTGGTGACTTGAAAAGAAGGATTTGCTTGGTGGTTTATTCACAAGGATTGATAACCAAATGCGTAGTCTCGTACCCAGCCCGTTACTTGCAGCAAGCTGCCTCATGCGCTAGTTTAACACCATGCTTTCTGGCCAACTTAAGGGGAAGCAAATGTGTATCGCACCATCTATACTTATCGGTTCCTTTTTATATCACCGTAAATGCAAGCTGTCCAAACGAAAAACCACAAATGTATATCTGTCGTATATATTGATAACGCCGCTCAATTCTTCAACCTCATATATATCAGCTTATGTGGCTTACGAAAGTCCATCGGTAGAACTCTTGTTCATTACTTAGGCAAGAAAATCCTTTAGGGTCGACAAAATCTCTGCTAAATTGAAGCGGAATATCTCTCTGTTGCCATTCAGGTCAAATTCGACTATTATTAACTGACCTTCGATGAATCGATGTTTTAAATGTTTAAAGAAAGCCGACTTTTAATCTACTTCTCACCGATAGCTAGCAGTAACTCTACAAAACGCATTAGTAAAAGTGCGGTCAGCGTAACCTAATGTGTGCTCATCTAGCTTATTATTGAAGAGAGCTAGCTTCACCCCCACAAATACGAATGATTGATGGTTTTGTGATCAGCGCGGTGGGTTTGTCAGTGAGTTTTGTTACACGGAGATATGGAGACTAGAGCTAGGTAATAACACTGCTTTCTATTCTAGTTAGCTGGGGACCTCTCTTAAATTCGTTACCGTTACCTCCCGAAGCACATCGATCCCTAAGCCTTCAAGCCGGTTCTTCCCTTTGATCTGCGAGAAAATTTAGAGTTACATGGGGGGGGTACCTTCTCGCGTCCAGTCAGGAAAGCATGTGGCCCGTGCAAGTGGTTTTCGAACCTTTGGAGGCTATTTGACGACGTTGATGGGTTAAGCCAATCAACTCTGAAATACATGGCATGCCCTGTGGTTGCTGGGTACCGAAAACCCGTTTTGGGCCTGCCACGCTCCAGTACGCCAGCTCGTGATTGGCTCGGTTGTGTTACAACGACGAGGGCGGCTACCAAGATATCAATGCGACTGGCGATGTACAGACAATTGAGATCTGTTAGACTTAGAAGCACTGGTATGATGAGCAAAATAATAGAATCAATGAGTAGAGGAGCGGGGTAGGTATATACTTTAATAGCCACTCACGTTGGTATATATCTGCCAGCGCACTGACATTCGAATTCGTAGCTGTGGTTTTGTGATCAGGAGCACCTAATACGTATCATAATTACCAGCAAAGATGTTTACACCGCTAGACATCGAGCTCTTTATGCTCGTCAGCTTTGTGATAGCTTCTTCAATTATCCTTTACTTTATCTTGAATCACGGCAAACCCTACGCAATTTTCTTCTACAATTGCTTCCTGAAACCCTTTTCTGGAAAGGTCACCTCCGTTAAACAACAGGATTCTCTCGAGAGTTTTTATAAAGGGCAAGCTGCAATCTATGATGCGACAAGAGGGCAGCTTCTTAGGGGGCGGGAGGAGATGTTGGCACTAGCTGCTGCGCAATTAAAGCTGAGGGTCCAGAAGAAAAAAGAGGCCGAATCCACGGAAGGGAGAGTTTGGGTTGATATTGGAGGTGGTACCGGGTTGGTGATACCTTTTTCCCGTAAAAGTCTCCCTTCGTACTGACTAGTAGAATAATGACTAGATATAACATTGAACTTCTCAACAAATTCCTCCCAGTCCAACAGTTCTTTGAGAAGGTCTATCTTGTTGATCTTTCTCCAAGCTTGTGTGAACAAGCTCGCCAACGGTTCAGAAGGCTAGGGTGGAAGAATGTAGAGGTCTTATGTATGGATGCTCGCGGTTTTGATCTTGAAGACCGAAAAGTCGATTGGATTAGCATGAGCTACTCGCTTTCCATGATCCCCGAGTAAGCTACCCATAAACAAATCTACAATCTCCTGGCACAAAAAACTAACAAATGCTAATTGAAAGCTTCTACTCCGTCGTGGATTCTCTTTCAATACTACTGTCACCTACAGGACTCATTAGTGTTGCAGACTTCTATGTGCAATCTTCAACAACCTTCTCGGAAAGAACTTTTACAGGAGGCGCCTGGGATCGTCATGTCAATTGGTTCTCGAGACAGTTTTGGAGGATATGGTTTGAGTTTGACAGAGTTAATCTTGACGAGGGAAGACGAGATTATATGGAGTACAAATTTGGGACTCTTCTCAACGTTAATGGCCGGTATGTGATAACCTACCTCCCGTTTAAAGATAATATTTTAACGTGCGCACAGAAACCGCCTCCTTGGGGGAATTCCATACTACGTCTGGATCGGGTGTCAAAAGCTCCACTCCGCCGCTGATGTCCTTGATCGTGTTGATGCCGCCGCCACAGAATCGCCATACCTTGCCGCTATTAACTCCCTCTCGAGCACTCACTCCTCAAAAACCTCTGCTGAAACCGCTCTCCAACTCCGCTCGAAAGGCTTTGAAGCCGCTGTCCTTAACCTTGCCGCAAACCTGCCATTACCCAGCTTCTTCTACCAGATCCACCATTGGCGACTCTACTATGACGAACTGTTGGAGAAACACACCCAGTTCAACAACTCTTACATCTATGCTTTCACGTGGGAAGACCCACGGGTTGATCATCGCATCCTCAAGATCAACCGCGACGATGTGATCCTCGCCATCACCTCGGCAGGCGATAACATCCTCTCTTATATCATCGACGGTGCACCGAAGCGCGTCCATGCTGTTGATCTCAACCCTACACAGAACCACCTACTCGAGCTCAAGCTCGCAGCCTTCAGTTCCTCACTCGACTACAAAGATCTCTGGAAGCTGTTTGGCGAGGGCCACCACGAGAAATTCTCAACAATATTGATGGAGAATCTAAGCCCACATCTGTCGTCGCGAGCGTTTCAGTATTGGTGGGATAATCGGGCAGTTTTTTCAAAAAGTATTGGACTGTATGAGACTGGCCAGTCACGGCTTGCGATAAAAGCGGCGAGATGGCTGTTTCGGTGCTGCGGGGTGGCAGGAAGTGTAAAGAGAATGTGTGAGGCTAGAACCATGAATGAGCAGCGAGAGATTTGGCAGGGTGAGGTGAGGCCAGTAATGTTGTCTAGATGGGTCAGTAAGTTCATAATCGGGAATGAACAGTTTCTGTGGCGGGCTCTGGGCGTACCACCGAATCAGAGAGATATGATCAGGGAGGATCATGAAGGTGGTGATCACGCACAGGCAATGTGGGACTATGTGGTAAATACATTAGATCCGGTAGTAGATCAGGGTTTATTAGGGGAGGATAATTACTTTTATCTGCTGTGCTTGAAAGGATTCTATACAAAGAGGTAAGTAGGATGCAGACAAAATGTGTCAAGGAAATGATTAAACTAACCAGTTATTGTAGATGCCACCCTTCATACCTGACTGAGAAAGGCCACGCCAAGCTATCAAAGCCGCACGCATTTGACGGAGTAAGAATCCACACCGACGAGATCAAAGAGGTATTAGGTAGACTACAATCGGAAACCTTGACCATCGCAGTAATAATGGACTCTATGGACTGGTTTGATACCGACGGCATCGAAGCACGAAGGGTATGCATTTCTCATCTTGCCTCTTCAACCAACTTTTAGCTGATCTAACAAATTATAGCAAATTAAAGCTTTGAATAACTCGATGAAACTGGGAGGCCGTGTTCTTCTCCGCAGTGCCGGTTTGCGGCCGTGGTATATCAGAGTGTTTGAGGAGGAGGGATTCAAGGCCAAGCAGGTTATGGCTAGACATCCGGGAGCCTATATCGACAGGTATATATTAGTTTTTCTTTCAATTCATTAATAGCGCGCATGAGTTTGTCTAATGGTTGGATTCATAGGGTCAATATGTATGCTTCAACCTGGGTGTGTACGAAGCTGGAGAGAGTGTCGTCGGGGAGGCGGGAGAGTAGCTCTTCGGAGGTTGATATGCTGGAAATTTAAGTGTCTTCCTGTCGAAAATAGATGTGTGTGTGTGAATGCAGCCATGTGCCAGATGCAGAACGTAGGCTAGGGTGTCACAGACCTAAAGTAGAGTGTGAAGCACATTTCATGCTGTGCAACCAACCGCGATACCTATTATCCGGACTCAGAGGATAAAGACCCCTCTTGTCCTTGTCAACTCCCTTCGCAACTCCGCCAAGAGTTCGTGAAGCGCGGGGTCACTCTCTAAAGACTTTGCTTTGGCTTCATTTTGCCAAGGCTTGTCTCCACTACACAATCCACGACCTCTTCTTCACTGAAGCTGGTCAAAACCTAGACAATCATGGTCTCCTCTCTGCATATGAGGCCACCTCTACTCCTCCTCTCTCTTCCCTTAGGGGATAGCCTCCTTCTTCGGGCCCTATGGGTCCTCCTGGCCGTCCCCTTGTTGGGTTGAACTCTTCACTCTCTCGAGCAACGTGCTCTTACCAGAAAGTCGTAGATAGTGAGCCGACGAGACTGCGGAAAACAGTAAATTCGGCACCTCCCTCCCGGGTCCCCTAAGGGGGGCCCAGTTACTACTCAACTTGAAAGCCACTCCGGCTCGACTCGCCTTTATGGCTGCCCACCTTTTTTTCTTCTGGCGGGGGGTTCTCAGGTCGTCTGCTTTGCAAGAGGATGTGCGGTTGGTGGCGGACCATAGCTACTACAACTTGGGGATCTGGCATTGGGGATAGGTTTTTACGCCATAGTTTATATAGTACTGCATGCGATGATTGTACCTAGAAACAATTCACTGGATTTAAAAAAAAAAAAAAAAGATAAAGACCACAATACATATTCTGGTTCGAACTCTGAAAGAACATGTTACTCATTGAATAAAGTTATATGTATCCCATACGCGGCGTCAACACTTGACACTCATACACAATCATATACACATCTCACGTCTCATGCTTGATAGAACCCAATGCGAAAAGAAAGAAAGAAAACCCAAAACTCCGCAGCAGCAAACAAAAAAACCCATATCCCAGAAGAAAGAAAAAAAGGTAAAAAAACAAGGCATAAAAAAGAAATAAAGCCTGCACAGTAACTTCACTTTAATCGCAAAGTGCATCTCAGCTTTCAAGATCTCAACCACAACCCCCAAGACTAGACCACTTGTAAAAATAAAGTGTGGCCAAACCAAACGAAACAACAACCCCGCCCGGCCCGTTCCGACTAGCACCAGCGCCAAGCTAGCCAAACTAAGTCCTCCGGTCCCGCTTCTCGCGCTCCTCAGTCCTCGCGACTGCCGCGCCATGCCCACTCTCCGACTTGGTCAGGATGCGCTTCGCATTCGACAGCGAGCTCCTGCTGCTCTTTCCTACGGGTCTGGACTGCTTCACATCTGCTCACACACAACACGATCGTTAGCATCCAAACCAACTAACCTGCGCAATTGAAGAAGAGGACACTTACTGCGCGCATACAGCCGCTCCGAGATTGCGGACAAGGTGGGCTCGTTTTTGATGTTCTTGTTGTTGTTGAAGCTGCGGGAGCCGGCGGAGCGCATGCTTTGGGATGCGCCGGTGAACTTTGAGGTCTTTTTGGAGTAGGAGATCTTCCATGTTACCATGACGACGATGAGGAGGGGGATGAAGGATGCTTGGGGGGCGGACATTGTCGCAGATTGTGGATTGTAGAGATATGGGGTGTGTGAATATGTGGGGATATATGTAGATAGCTGAGAGATGGAGTCTTTGGTTTCCGGAGGACTAAGTTTGTAGAATAGCTAAGAGCTAGGAGGAAGGAGGAGTTCAAGGGAAAAGAAACGAGACAAGATACGGGGGGAGGAACGGCATTATATACGTGCCTCTCTGAGGCTCTCTCCATCTACTCTACCACTAATTAATTAATCTGCTACTTCACTATATCTCGTGGATTTAATCCGTACCGTACGGGGGCCCTGGTTAAGTTTTTCCCACCTCGCCGCACATATGCACCGTGTGCAAGTGCAGTGAGCAGCACTCTGTGTGTCACTGCATGATCGCGACAAGCTTATTTGCCCGCCCCGACCTATCAGGGTGGATGCATGTGAGTCTATCATAGCTACTTCACCCCTCTATGGATATGTAGGTACGGCGCTATGTACCACCCGGCACACCCCTCCGTGAAGAGCCTCACGGGGGTACCTACATTAACGCGACGCCGCCTTGCAACTTCACCTACTCTATTGATCTGAGACCTCTTGCACGCACTGCCCCCCCCCCCCCCCCCCCCCAATCACCTGGTTTCTGGCATTGCGGAGTTTTATTATGATTACGCCTTGGTAATCCATCTGGCTCCTATAATGGATAGGTGTCGTTGATTATGAACTTTGAAGAGGTCTATTTCGAGAGGGATATATTGGTAGAAATATCAGTCATTGGCATGCCAGTAGAGTACACATCCTGTGACCACTAGCTTGATTTATTACACAATTGGGTTGTCTCACAAGCCACACAAAATGGTTAGCGTTAGTGACGAGAGTCAAAAGATAGTAGCTTTAGGCAGGGTGATGACATCAGAACTGAACACTTTGCCAGAGAGGGGCTGTGCTCAAGAAATGGTTATACGTTTAATTATATTGATTTGTATATACACCGTCTTGTGCATTTCCTAAATTTCCAGTAAGGGTATATCGATCACATACGTACATATATGTAACTACATGTACATGTATGTTATAATGTGATATATATATATCTGTATACAGACGGCCACAGTACTATAAAACGTTTCGGGACACATCTAAGGTTCGGACACAACCAGGTAACGAAGTCTAACTTGGGATGGGTTATGAGCAATCCACTCGCTGTGTTGAGTAAGCATAGGTGATCCAGTGAACTGCGGCTAAAATATAAATAATGTAGGTTAACCATGTATACCGTGAATATTGATTAGTTAGAGACAAACCACAAATACACCATCAAGCTCTTTGTGAATCGATTTAGCATTACTCCAATCCAGGCTAGTTCTTTCGTCCACAGCTGTATTATAATGCCCGAGCTTTCCATGGAATGGACTACTACTCCCCATAAAGCCCAATTGCACTTCACAGAGAAACATAACAAAGGGGGGACCCTAGAATTAACGGTACAGGTCGACGTACGCATCGCATTAGTATTGGTGCATATTTGCAGGTAATAGGAAGGTTAAGAACATGGAAAACTCACCTCCACATGAATTCGGCAATAGCAGTAACTTGGTTAGATCAGTATCGATCCAATTGGCCAACTACCTTAAGAGACGGAGTTTTGTAATAAACTCACCTAACTCCAGCTCTATTCGCGAAGTAAACCCCTCCCAAACCATTTGGGTCCTGGAGCCCATTCTTCAGGATAGACTGTATATTTGCTATAGATGTTCCATGCCATAGTAAACGCCAGTTATCATTGATGCCAGTTAACTTACCCCACCCTTTTGTATTCCAGTGTTCTTCTTCGTTTTCCCTCAAGATTCGAAAAATCTGCAAGTTGCAGTTAGGGATTATAACCGGTCCACCACTACCTTTAAAAGTACTTATGAATCAATTTGTACTCCTGTGTGTCTTTGTGAACTGCATGCTTTCCTGTCAGAAAATCTTACTTTAAACCACTCTAATGTACAAACCGAGAAAAATACCATACCGTATGTGATATCTTTTAATGCCAAAAGTTTGAAATGTCGTCTGAGGGTGTCATCATGACCATTAATAGTAAGGTTGAGATTGGGTTTCTTACTTCCCGCAGAAATTGTGAACAATGATTTAGCGCCCAGATATAGAATGTTTTCAGGACTTTCCAAAAACATCAGCTTCAGGTTCGGGGCATCTTTCGGAGAAGCTGGAAATAAAATATAAGGAATCAAACACTATCAATTCAGGACATGAAATATGTAATAGGCGATAGAAAGCATTTCTGGCTAAGAGTGCTGCAGGGATATACTCTAATTCGTCAACACTTTCAGGGCCCATGGTTCGGTGCCCTTCTTTTTTACATTTTTCTATTTCCGAGTTGTAGACATCAATAAGAGTGCATAAGGTCGTTTTAGATCTCTTGCCAGCGATGGTGTACTCATGCGTTATACTAGCAATATTCTTATCACTACTTAAGACTGGTGCGTAGAATTGATAATCCGAATCACCTGTGTACTTAAATTTCAATATCCGTATCTTTTTGTTGTCCCCGAGTTAGTGGTATCCTCAACCATTCTCGACAGGATTAGAAGAGATTGACCGTAGTAACTAACTGAGAAGTAGTAGTATTACTGCTATCTTCTGATGCCTCATCAATCTTAGAAAGTCGTTCATCGTACCGCAGACCGCTTTTTTAATCACTGTAAACAGATGTCGGAGCTTGGTCTCAGATCAGTACATGTAATTATAGGCAAATACATACCAAGAGAATCATTCCTATCATAAAACTTACAAAGCTTTGTCCACCCACGATCTTCACAGATTAACCCTCGTATAAGAGCGTTTTGAATGCCTTTAATTTCACCGAATTGATAGGTTTCCTCATTCAATGCCTTTGCCCTACTTATCGAGTCCAGGAGCCAACGTATATGAACAATCTTGATGGTGCCCGATTTCTTTGCAGATGCGACTAGATTTTTGTTCTGCGGTAAGTACCAAGAAATTCAAATCATCAATAGTTACTTCTCCTTGATTATATACCTCTTTTGATTGTTGCTTTATTGTATATGTCCTCGCTACAAATCAGATGCGTAGGGCTCCCCACAGTTTTGTTTCCTATGTACGGGCTGCTGAAAGTCCCACCGTTGCTGGTGATTATATCAATCATACTCGCTTGTATCATGTGTTAATATAGGTTCTTCTGCAGCGATTTGCTTCGACTTACTCTGGCTAGTACGTTTGCGTGTAAACCCAGATGAAGGGAGGGATCCAACCATCGCAATACAAAAACCATCGAAAATCTTTGTTGAAGCCATGGAATTAATTGATAACTGTTGATCGATTGAGAAGATGGACACAGCTTATAGATACTTATATGTGCTGGATAGGGATGAGTGGTTACCTACTGGCAAAGGGCGTTGACTGATATCATCGCACCCATACAATCAACAGAAGCTGCATCCATTGAGATACATAGATTTGACCATCATAGTCCCTTCTGGTAGGCCATATAGAATTCTCCTCGAAACCACTCTGCTTTTCTTGTACTGTGAGCATTTTGTAGGATCGATCATTCAATGAAGGTTTTAATTAGCGGGTTTTAGACAAAAGGTTTGCAGATTCTGTGGTACAGATATTTAGCCCAAGGATGTATACTTTGTGCCTAGCATGGTTTGTGGTTGAGTTTGTTATTAGGCCAAGTATCTTCCTTTGACATTCATGGCTCATGAAATCTCACGTCACCTACTCGAACATTTTAGACGACACCTGTCTCAGCGCATTACTCATCCAACAGTACCTACTGCTACCATCTCCGCAAACCATGCATATTCTCACAACCAAATCTTTTGTCCAAAATGTGCTAGTATTCAATAGCTCAATTCATCTCATCTCGGTAGGATTTTGTACAGAACTCCACCTCTGAGCATCTTCCCCTACATTCCATTGTCCGACATGATAAAAGATTCCAACTCCTTCTATTCCATCAACTAGTCCAATTTTCCTGTCCACCCCGCCTCATATCCTGGTTGTGCCATGGACCGATGGCTCAATAAGAAAAAGCAGTTTTGTACAAAGCAAATAAATAAAAACAACAACGCCTCCTAAACACCATAAAAGCTACAAATGAAAATTAACTATGTACCGAGATGGGCAGATGCGGAAATAAGAAAATTAAGACAAGAGAAGTGAAACCGCTAATGTGGATGCCAGCCCTAGTGCGCGGGCGTGGTTAGGTATTAAGGCGCTTAGCACCTTTGTTGATACCGGCAACTAAAAAAAACCCCCAGTTAGTACAAAATTCCACATAAGTTGTCAATGGAGTTCAACATACCATCCCACCACCTTGGCATACAACTGTATGAGTTGGTGTCAAAGTTGACCGCCCTGTTGCAGTAGCAACGTCCGGACTTGTGGCTCTCGTCGTCCTGTGGACACCTTGAGCACGGCGGATGCGAGTATCCAAAGTCCGCGAAATGGTGGATCTTATCCTTAGGCGCGAACAATCCCACGCCTAACGAATGAACTGGGGCATCGCCCCATCTCTCGTAGAAGAACCCACCAGCGCTATCAAGGAACTCGAAATATTTGGTGTACGCCTCGGACCTATAAAAGTTGAGAGAAGCAATCTCGAAATTGCTCCAGAAATGGCAAAGATTGTAGTTGCCATCGATTTCCTTGTCATCTTTCTTTGATGCCTTTGCTCCATCAACGAGGAAGTCGAGCGAGTTGTTCTCATGCAAGTACTGGGGTAGCGACGGACAAACTCCTTAGTCCGAGACCAGAGTGTCTTGATTGTGGCTTCGAATTCGTACATAGTGATGACGAAGCCGTAGATCTTATTATTAGTGCGCATAAAGGTGAAGGGGTCGCTGTGCCACAACATGACGTCAGTAAATTGCAATGCTTTGAAATATTACTATTACTAAACTGGTTCACTTACTATTCAATGTCGCAGTAGAGCTCAATACCTGGCTCTACGCGCCAGTACCAGTCATATTTCTTCATAACCTCCATGTTGTAGAAAAACCCTGTTCATCTGCGTTAGGCCCCTATTTCTAGGTCTCCTTGACATTATTCGGGGGAAGTATACCTGAATTGAAGCGACACATGTGGCGATAAGACAGCGAACCACCATAAATAATATTTTGTCTAGTCATTTCGGCCATCTCCTGCTTGACAATAGTTGTATTGATTGACTTCGGGATCGACCAGGCCTCCTTCGGGATAACCTGGTATTCAACTGGGCCACTCGCCATTCCGGTCGTATATTCGATAAACTGTTGTTTTGTTCACCGTCAGTAAACCTTCTTGGCAAGACAACCAGCGGGGCAGAATAAGCACTCACATCCTTCGTAAACGGCTTATCGTTCAAGAAAGTCCACGGATAGTGGAACTTCCGATTGAACCGATCCTCCACACTCCTCATACTACTCAACGCCTCCCTTATCTCCCTATTACGTACCAACATCACCAGCGTCGCCTTCTCCGTCCCGTTATTGCTCTCAAGAGTCGGCTCGTTCGAGCAGATCGGCATATTCGGCTCCGTCTGCTCCACAACCTGAATACTTGGGCTCGCAGACATTGTCTGCTGCAGTCTGTCGTTGAGGCTCTTCCGTAGCTCGGACGATGAGTAGAAGTTGTAGAAGATGGCGCAAAATGCCAGTGTGATGAATACTCGTGCGAAGTTCCGCTTCGATGCGAGGCGAGTGTAGAGAGCACCTGCTGCTGCTTCGGGCTGGCGCCATAATTTGGCTCGCTGGGCGCCCGTCATGTTGAAGGTTGCCCCGTGAATGTTGAACGGGAGTTGGGACGAAAGGTCCAAGACCTGTTGGGTGGTTATAGGGTAGGACGAGCGTTGGAACGATGCAGCAAGATTCCTTCAAACAGTACAATATATCCCAATACAAGAAATTACTGACAAACGTACTGACTGCCCTGCAGCGGCAAACAAAATAACGGAGAAATAGGAGAAAATAAATCCAGTTATATCGTAAAATAAATAATATTTAGCGAATGAAGCGTAGAACTGTAACGGTTTTGTATTATGTTGAAAAATGACTGGACAATGCAGAAAGTGGGTGGTGGTGGGGATTCACAAGTGATATATATGGACTCTTGGATGTGAACAAGCTTTCCCTCCCGAGACACACCACACCTGCTCCACTCGATGTAACTCCTGTAACAGGATGGCCGATATCCAGGCCAGGAGTAACTTGTGCGCGGACGGAGTAACCCTGGTCCTAATCAAGCTGACGAGTACATGCTCCACGGGTAGCACATGCCGAAGATTTATCTTCTTTTAGGTGATATGAACAGCCCTCGCACTAATATCCGTATGTATTTACCTCTACATACAAACACATAAGCACACACACACAACACACACACACACACACCTCTACAACATGACGCGCGCGCATTCAAGAGTCTGGGGAGGGTGAGAGGATTTCAGGAGTGTTGGGCGGCGATGCAAGCTCACTCGCCCATTCCTGGGTGCATCAGGACTTGGTTCATCAGGACTTGGTTCACTTTTGGACCGATTCCCGAACACCGAATATCAACTAGCTGCCCGAACATGTCCCAAGTTTGATTTCGCCTGGTCAGCACAGAATTGACGGACAACTCTCGGCCGGAGTCCGAGGTAGAAGGTTCCATCTAGCTATTCTACCCTTTTGCTGCAGTCCGGCCGACAGACAGCCTCTGGCAGTCGGTCAGGATCATCCTAGGTACCCATTGCATCGGTTCCTCCTCTTCTCAAGAGTGAGATGTTATATTTTTCCCACAAAGTAATAATTATACTTGTTGGCCGAGATAGACATTTCACCTATTGGGATCATGTATAATATTATGCATCTCTCTCATGTTCAGTCGATCTTCTCCTTATTCTCCTTTCAACCGCAAAAACTACATTTGTATGTAGCATGAATCTGACTTCCAGAATAATTCTGAAAATGTCAGCCTGTCAGTCCGTCTGTCAGTCGGGACGCGCGTTCCTGTCTTTAACAAGCGGGCATTGGCTCCGAGACGTTTCCCAACTTATATGGGGTTAGCTAGTTACTCTACTTCTGACGTCGAATCTCAATTCAGAACCCCTACAAGTTGCGGTTTTGATAAGAGCCTCTTTAACTTACCCCAAAAACCAAAAGAAAAATTGCTTCTCTCACCCCGGCTGGTGTTTCACCCGGATAAACCGGCGACACGCCGAGACTCGTCATCGCGATTCTAACCCCTGCACTTGGTACTTGCGCTTGTTTTCCTTACTACCATGGGAACTCGAGTAGAGTACCATGATAGATTCGACTCTTTCCAGAATTAATGAGGTGTGGTGTGGCCTGTTTCGTGCGGTGCTGTGCCTCTTAGCACCAGCGTTTCAGTGTCAACCCATACAAAAGGATGGAAAATTTCCACCATCCAGGGTCGGGTCCATTTCCATTTCCTGCGCAGCGGTACTCGTATACATATACGCACCCAGCATGTCCAGACGGAACCAGATTGGAAGAATGGAAGAATTGGGGAAGAAAAACAGCAATATTGACTTTACGGTAGGCACAATAATACCTGCCACAGACTTGACCTTCCTTAACCCCGGCCCCTGTGAATCTGCACATCTATTAATAAGAATCTCTGGGCACGGTGTAGAGTAGAGTTTATCGAAAAAGTGAAACCCAGTTATGGAATCCTACCACAGTTTCGAGGCCAATATTCAGTGAGCATCGAAACGGGATTAAAGTATTAAGATCGACGTTAGGCCCGAGTATGTAATCCACTCGAAACAGCTAATGAAGATCCCCATCCCGGTATACTCTCTACCGAAGAATGGACTTGGCAGATATCGTGGGGGCTGCACTGTGCACATATTTAGTTAACGGGTTCTCAGTTGCTTTGTTCCGAAGTTCTATTCGACTTCATGTTTCTCCCAGGTAATGATTATCTCTATCCCCACTTTTTATATTAGTAGCTTCGTCTTAAGCGGGGAAATATTAAGGCAGAGCGAGGCAGGGGAAGAGTCGATGGTAGGCAAGGTACGGTTATATGTTTTCCTGGATTCGTTGCTTCCTTATGAGGTGAGTGCCAATGATAACACAACACCACTCATTCCTTGGAAACATCATTTTTATTGTTGTAAAAACTTGCCCTGACCGGTTGTGAATTATGGCCGGTAGAATTAGGCGAAGATTTATCATAGTGAGTACGGTGGTACGAAGTAGGCGATTCGCGGAGAAGCTGAATATACTGGGGATACCAGTTATTAGCATTATCCTCCTTTATTCCAACAGGAGAACCACTTACATTCACAGTTGCAGGTAAGAACGTCTGGGAATATTGAATGATAGCCTACATACCTTCTTCCTTACTACCATCCGCTTTACATGCCCAGGCAAAAACTCTCTCACCGAGAGAATTATGGTATTGTCGGCCCTGTAGGCCACGAATCCAAGACCTCACCAGTCCCATACCCGGTACGGGATATTCCATGTTTTCGGCATATGGCATATGCGGGCAATCAATCATTCGTGATATGATGAAGGCAACAAGCCTTCCAGTATGACCATGACCCCAGTATCTTAAGAAAAGACGCATGATTCGTTTGGGGATTAAGCTATGATATATTGTCTTAGCCCCATAAAGTGCCAAGCTCATCAATTGTGGAGGAATGTGAAGTACCAGAGGGACTCCTGAAACTCTCCCCAAGTATTGCGGATCCCTTTATATCTATCCCCTTGAGGATTAATTACCAACAGAAGCTTTGATGATGGTATGGTCTGAGTGAAGGGTGAGGAGTGTATCATCTCACACAGTGACCGTTAAAAACTCACTTAATTTGGTCCCTCTGTACTGTAGTTGAGGTCTCAGCTGTTTTCTCCTCACTAGATACATGTAAGTGACTTTGCACGTATTTTACCTCAAAGTACATATACGTATGCAAACCTGCGACGCAGTGTGTTACGCACACACCTTCTAATAGGCTTAGCGGAATGTCCCGGCCGCATTTACCGAAACCCAAGTAGTAAGGCTATTCCACCCCTTGAAACCTGTTTCGCCCTCCCCACACGAGAACGCCGAGCTCACTGGCAGAGCGGGCAAATCTTCAAGAGCAACAAACGTTGACCGGGGTAAGAAACGATAGAAAAACTCAATCGCTTTATATTCCCCGAGATGTATGTGTGTATGATGCCTCCTATTCAGAATACCTATTATAAGCCCAACGTGGACAGCGCCCCCGAATACTCAAAATGGGCAGAGATAGATCTCCCCCCTATTCCCCGTGACGAGGCGACTTTCTCAGGCTCAATCTAACCGGTCATATTTCTTAAAGAAGTCACAGGCTCTATCGTTCTCCAACTTTCCGGTCACCCATACCATATGGTGCGCGCGGGTACTGGATGTGGCGCGCAACGCGCGTCGAGTCCCGAAAGAGGTAGGCCTACACCGACAGGAACTCTGGACGGCAGGGGTGTTATAAGTCTATTTCACCGAGCGATATACATGTCAGCGCCTTCTAGAGTGTTTGTCTTCTATATCCCTCATGCCAGAATGCATTATAGTGGGTCCGGAGTGTGAGGTGAATAGGAGGAAAAGGCTTTTACAGCATGATGAAATGTGCAACTAAAATCCATTACTCTATATATGCACGAGAATATATGAGTGGCATAAGATATGCTTTTGCACATACTTTAACAGGACCCCCTAGTTGGTAAGGTTTCGCGAAAATGGCATGATAAAATGGATAAAGAGGCTAGAGCGTAAATTCCCAAGAAAATGAGTGATATTCTATGATGCAAATAGTGCAACTCTTTCCAGGACCAGGAGGAGTATTGTAGTTCAATTAAGGATTGGATGCGGACTCGCTTTATGACAAATTAGAAAGAACACATATCATGTCAACATGAGCGTCTTTGAGCTCCGATACTAACGCGGGGACAGACCAAAGAAGGCAAAAAAGCCAACAAATTCACCTTGTTGACAACACACTTATAGCTAACTTTTACTGTAAAATACACCACATACGTGCTATCTTCCTTATTCCGGAAGCTAGAACTCGGGACCTCACTCGCCTCAAAGATCGACCGAGTGACATTTTGTGATCCAATCCGGTTCTATTACTGTTCAGCATTTGCGAACAAGTATACGTGCCATCTAGAAACTTCCTCGAATAATACTCTGCGACCATACAATTGATAAGCCGCGTCCAAAGATTTTACTTCTATGTTGTATGTAGCCGGTAGCAAACTGGAACCACTGGTTTGGTTGGATCTTATCATCCTTCGCGCAGATTTTACCTACGAGCTACTCCTCTAGCTCTAGACAGAACTATTCTCCTAGAGCTATCGCCAATACGAGCGCTAATTTTTGCAATTCGAATAATCTAGTGTCGAGACCATAGAAATGCGAGTGATCATCCATGTTCCGAAAGAGACTATATCTATATACATATAGTGTTACATAACCAATTAGTGGCCTTCTCGGGACCTACTTTGTCCTAAGATTCTACATCAAATATCATCTGGTTTTTTTTGTACCAATCACTATATAGTATTTGGGTATTTAGACGTACATAAAGGGTCGTTTTTTGTTTTTTTTGTTTAATTCATTAATTGCATGTAAGCATAAAGGGTCGTGAGATTGGTGGAACGGGTCACGAAAATTAGACATAATTTATGCCGGCTCACATAAATTAGTTATAGATTGCAACCCCCACAAAGAAGTTCATTGTGCTTTAGATGGTGGATTTTGGGTGACGAAAAGATTTTGGGTGACGAAAAGAATTTTGTTCTCCACTGGGTTGCGCTGATTTAATACTAACTTTTAATATTAACCCTAAACCTATGCCAAAAACGTTTATAAAGCGTATACGCGCGCAATCCTGCATAGAAATCATAGTAAATCACTCGGTTGCGTTTTACATTTGTACAACCAGTGTTCCCGGCCCCCATTTTAAGATCTCAATATTGGGACTACATATATGAACTCTTCTGAACATGTAGACTAGTGATCGGCACAAGACAAAACAAGATGATACTTGAGTACGTTTTGTCTTTTTTTGTGGATTATAGAAGGTGGTCTCGGAATTGACAATACCTGAGCCATGTATCGCGCAAAGTCTCGATACAGGGTCACCCGGCCAAACATCCGCACCAGTTTACCTCACAATGATCCTTTTTCACACGGAATGCTTTTGGAGGAAGCCATCGAAACTAGATTTTTAAGCTGGTATGGAGATCATAGACGATCACTCGTAAGTTTCGAAAAGTCTCGAGACTAGGCTTTTTCTGTTTTGTCTTGTTTTGTCTTCTCTCCTAGGTTTTGTTTTGTCTCGTGTCTCGGGATAAAGTCTCGAGACTTTTTGTCTTGTGCCCATCACTAATGTAGACAACGTTAGATCTCATCGACTAAAAGTATCTCTGGCTAGGTCACTTCCAGCTGGAAATCAGCCTACCTGCAGGCGTACAGCTAGAAACACCCTCCTCTAGTTACATATAGTTTGGCGTACTTAGTATGCATGTACATCCAAATTCGATTTCCGTTTACCAACATTCCGCGGTTGAAAGATAGAGCATCGGGCATATACATATTCGTAATCCCGTTTTTAGACCTGTACCTATAGAGAGTTAACAATATAGGCTCTAAGCTCCTACCCTGCATCCGTTATAACGTTACACCTTGTATCAACATATAAACAAGTACAGCTTGTAGTGTCGGACAGCTATGTATATATATGTCATTTCTGTGAGTGATTGTGTGTGATGTATGCGCCTCATATTTCCTTTGTACTACCTAAATGAATTAGAGGTGAGAGGTTTGGGAAGGTGAAGATAAGCGCTTCACCTACATCCCCGGATTAGGTGGTAAAATTGGTATTGGTGATGTATTTGCCGAATAATTGCTTTTAGTTGATTACTTAGTACTCTCCTTGCTTTGGACCGTACGCGGTGTTGCTATTCGTCAATTGACGTACAAGTGATAAAATCCTCACAGAGAGACTTCGATATACGCAGGCCTAGCGGATGTCATGAACCTATATAGCTACAATTATATAAGTGCCTTGTTTTAATCTGCCTATCACCTTCTTATGACTCAAGCTTTCATTATCCGGCTCACATCATTAACCTTCTTTTAAAACACCGCCTTAGTCAACTTCCCTCAACGACATCTATAGAATAGATGGGGCTTATTAGGCCGACTCGCTCCCAGGCAACCATGCGTTGCAGATACGGTAGATTAGGTCACACGATTAAAACAATTGAAGGTATGTTCATTTATTGATCCCCATATTTGTTATTCCTACATTCATACATACATATGCATCTCATCTCCCAAAAAGCAAAACGCATCAGCACGTGTTCAACATACTCGTCAATGCTGTCCTCTCAGCTGAAGTCACAGACAATGCCCACACACTCTTCACCTTAACCCACATCCTCGCATAGGTGCAGTAATAAGATGCTGAAACAAATATTAGGTTCACTTCTTCTTCCTCAGCTCAAAGGAGATGGGACCACTTACTAAGAGGTGGCTTCCACGCATCGGGCGACTTATCACCCTTCGCCTGGTTCACATTATCGGTGACCTGTGCCACACCGTCAGTTTATGTTTCCTCGAGAAAAGATTGAGGACTTACAGCAATCAGTTGTGGGTTCGTGAGATCATTGGCAAAGGACTGACGTTTAGCTGTCGTCCAGGTGTTGGCTCCCGACTTCCAGGCATTGGAGAGGGGCACAACATGGTCGATGTCCTGCGGCAGATGTGTTAATTCCTATGTCATGCAGATAACAAACCGGATGTGGTAACGAAAACTTACAAGATCAGAAGCGGCGGTCCATGTCGCACCGTCGTAGGGCGAGAACCAGGTTCCGCTTGAGGCTGAACAGTCGCTGGCCTGGACTACGTTGGATCCGTCACGGGCGAGAACTACCTCACGAGTGCTGTTCCATTATCAGTAATCGAGTTTATAAATAATTACCAGACGCCTTACTTGCAAGATCCGCTCTGGGTAATCCAATGCGGGAAGAGATCACGGGAGTAACCGGTGGCATCTGTGGTCCTTGTGGTGAGAGCGGCAAGCATGGTCTTTGCGGAAGCGGCAGTGGGGATGTTTGGAGGAGTTCGCTTCTCGAGCGTAGGGGCTGCGAGGGCGGCCGTGAAGAAGAGGGCTACTGCGGCGAGCTTCATGATTGAGTATGTAAATGGTGAATGCGAATTGAGTGAGTTGCTAGTGAGAATGTCAACTTGGGGAATCAGGCAATGGAGTGGGATTCATGAGTCTTTATAGAACTGAATTCATGCTCACGAGAATAATATCCTCAGCTCTAGCATCTCAGAGCTCTTTCTGTTGCGGATCATGATCGATCTCTCAACCCCAATTGGCTATCTCTATTCACTATTACAGCTCCTTCCTTTTCCGTGAAACATCAAGGAGGTCCCTTACAGTCAGGGGAGTCATTACGTTCTTGCGCTCGTGGTATATTTTACAGGCTCTCGTTATCAGATACTAGGGTACTTTAAGATGCAGTACCCCACGACTCAACTCACTAAACCCACCACGATTTTCGCCTCGATCCGCTAAGGCGGCCTGCATAATTATTACTATCAGTAGCCTTAGGGATCTCGGGTCCGCTTGGTTCCGACAAGTAAGGTTATTTCCACCTTCTGCAAAAGGGAAAGGTATGACGTCCAAACAGAGTTGTCGCCCCTGGACTTTTGAATTGTAAGTTATTTAATATTAGTGTTGGGGTGTGGGGGTTCACCAATCAGGTTGATAGTAGCAACGGTAGATTTGGCTGACCTAGGGCGCCTTCCATTTAGTCTGATCCACCCCGCAATCTCCTATTATCGAGATAAAAAAAACCTTATCGAAACTCTGAGCCAACGAACCCATGATAGTCGGGAATCTCCAAAACCTCCTTTTGTACCTTCCAGTTTAGTGCAGTCCTTTGACTTACATAATCCTGGGAAACGTCTGAAACTCCTTGGAACTTGGCACCGAGTATTTATGGTATTGACCTTTGGCTATGATAGCGCTGGGCACGCGGGAGACACTAAGTTGCTTCAACCCTCTACGGTATTCAGTTTCGCTTCCTTGAGCTGAGAGTTGAAATCATACTTTTATAGGAAGGCGGCGGCTTCCGTTTAAATATCGTGAACCTTGGTCGAGTACGCTGGGGTACACGTGCTTATTTACATGATAGCAGTGGCCTGCTTGTTAATCTAAATACAGACAATACAACGCCTAACCAATGCAACTAGTCAACCGCCACGGACTTTGCTACAGATTCAGCAAGCGATGTTTAGAGTTTTACATTTGGGACATTTTTTATACGGCGGTTATACCTATGATGGCCCTTCCATATAGGATTCTGCTATCACAATAAACCGTTGGGTAGACAGGGGATCGACCGTCTATTATTAAGTACTTCTACAATTGATTATCAAGCCTCGGCCGAAACCAGCAGACAGCAGCGATGGCAATAACTTCACATGTGCCTATCAATTGCCGGTATATTATAGACCTATGGCGGCAAATTGGATAAAAGATCTGTTCGCTTAAAGGCGAGTCGTGAAATGCGGCTACTAATTATCTTGTCTTGCCTCTGATTACGTTTACGCATCATGCTTTATCACTCGGTAGTTCATCCACAGATAATACCTTATCAATACACCGGGGTTGTACTCAACTAGCCTAAACATAAACACTGCAAGAGGCTTAGACCTGGGCAAATAACGCAGGGTATCCTTTACTAACCCAATACCTTAGTAATATAAGGAAATCGAACAAATGTAAGGATAGTTACTGAATACAGAGTCCTGTGTCTTTCACAGAATTACTGATTTCTGTCGCGAACGTTACGTTTCTAACCCGTTGAGTAGCATCCTTGCCGAAAGACTCCCTCGCTTCTTGCTTGCTGCATGTAGTATTATAGGCTATTGGATATCTTACTTAAAAGCCATTGGTACGAATAGGGATTGATTGGAGATTGGGAGGGAGGATGCACTGTCAGGAAATATTTAATAAATCTGCGGTGGAGCTCTGCTGTATCTTTTTGTACTGTTTCCTGTTACCCTGGCTCTACGAGATTTATACAGAACTAAGTACTGATCCTACCTAATACGGGCCATTGAAACTTGAGACTTAAATTTCATTGGTGAAAATAATACAACTCATAAATTAAAGACCGACTTCAAATGCGTGGAATCGATATCTAATGAATAAAAAAGATATCCCTGCCATACCTGTCCATAATAACACACATAAGGTACAACGTACGCTTTGTGTGTATATACCTAGATAGCTAGGCGGTAAATTGGTGGTGAATACCATATTCCCTTATTACCCCCCTCTTGGCCAACCCCAGCTGCTGCCGCTCCCACTCCCTCCATTCTCCTCAAACCTCTGAACCCCCCTCGCCCCTACCTTCTAAAAGAAATTTATACATCAAAATATCAGGGTGACAAAACCTTATTACAAACTATTCGTCTCGTTCCATTTCGCTGCAATAATATAATCTCTCATCTTGCTTTCATCCACAATTTGCAATTGGGGTCTTGGCACGAGCATCGAACCATTCCTTGCCTCGAGGGGGATACTGGAACTGGCGGCGGTGGTGGTGGTGGTGGATTCAATCGTGTAGGATGCAGAACGACGGGCGGCGGGAGTGGTGAGGGGAGATGATGCCCGCCATTCATCTCCAGTTGCTTAGGTGTTGACATTGGGAGCGGTTTAGAGGCACTCGTCTGGTCTTTTGTTAGTAAACCGTCTTTACATAGTTGCTAGGGGTCTTATAATCTCACATTCGACTTCAGCCATAGTTTACCAGCCCCATTCCACTTGTCCGCTGCAATTGCTGCCCAATGCCGCTGCAGAACCTTCTCGTTATTCTTGAAAGCCGCGCCCATGACTGATTTTGCGAATACTTCATCGAAACTCGAGTTTTCGCGATATTGCCTATTGTGGAAAACCATTCTTTGATCAACATGTGCACGAAAAAAGGATTTTGCTGCCTGGGGATCATTACTTGCCCAGTGAGTTCAAAAATAATCTCATGAACCCAACATGACCAAGTACCTACCGGGCCAGGATTAGCGATGCCCTCACCGCAGTCTAATTGACTCGAAGTGTAACCCACCTGCTTCCGCATTGCATCCAACTCGGGTATGTTGTAGGCCCATCGTGCTTTGTCATACCACTGCTTCATCTTTGGCCTCGATATCTCTCGCAGAGTCTCGTGCTTCTCCGCCCAAGTTTGCAGCCTTTCCAGTGTCACCTCCCCTCGACTTATCAAGTTCTTCACAGCGCGTACTCTTTCTTGTTTTGCACGGCCTAGAGGCGAGCCAGGTTTTGTAGCTTCCTCATCGAGAGTTGAGATGCACTCGAATAGTGCTCCTATATCGCGGACGAGCTTCTTGAAGTCCTCTGGTGCATCTTTTGCTACTTTGTAGAATAGCCAGTAGAGCTTGTGGACGAGTGTTACAAATGCAAGAAAGTCTCCGGTACTGTAATCATACCCCAACGTCACCTCCATCGAAGCCGACATTGTGATAGCTGACGATTGTCCCTCAGAGAGCTGTTGATCTTGAGGCAGTTGTCGGTGCGGTTTCTTTAATTGTTTCGCAGTCAAGCATAAAAGTTAAAGATGGGGCCACTGGATTTAATATGTATGTCGGAAACTTAAACCTTGATCGTCAAGCAAAACAACAACACTTCTGTCAACCCCGCACTAAACAGCAAAATGCTGGCAACGAAATATTTTAGCCTTAATCAGCTTCATGTTTCATCCAATCCGAGTGCGCAAAAGCGTTCCCAGTCAGTGGCTCAGAGCACTTCACGTCGTGGCGGAGGACTGACGTGGCTAGATTGTACTGGCGATGCGAAGAGCGATGGAGAGGTTATCCAATGGATGGCCTATTGATCTCGAGATGCATGGGGTGGCAAGCTTCCCAGCGCCTGCAGGTCTCCCGCATGCGGCTCCAAATCCCTGGGTGGATTAGGTGGATCATGGAAGCCACCAACACCCCTCACTCACGCCAACTTGGAAATGGGATGTTTTTGAGTATGCAGATCAAGCGTTTCCCACGTACGTACCCAGGTACAGACGGTAAATATAAATATAGAATCAACACAAAAGGGATATGCATTTGTAATTTGATACATGTACTTTATCCTGAGCTGCAGCCCTGTCCGCCAAAGCCGGGCTAGGGTAATTCAAGGAGCTAGATACTTTCTAGAATCCTATATATCCTCCTCTATCAGTGATCAATCTCTGACCCAGATAGAGTACATACATGAATGTGACCGCATACCGACTTGGGTCGGACGTGGCATCGACGACTATAATAATTGTTAATTTCGTTGTGGAGCTGCTAGTAAAACGTTACTTTGGAAAGTCCAGCCCTACATCCTAGTCGGACCAAACAGAAATTCTCGGCGCGTATCGATCTCAATTCTTCTTCAGCTTTGGCCCCGACCTGACCTGTGTAATTTTTATATTTTTTCCCACATGAATATCGCCCGTTGCATCAACATTTGCTGGCATTTAATGAACTGCCGAAAAGATACTGAATTATATTGTGCTGGAGGGGCACATAAGGTAGTGGTTGGTACACGAAATCATCGGTAAGCTTTCGGGAATCATAGGTGCGCACTCGACGCCAATGGGGTCAAGTATAAATCGTCATATTTATGACGTTTCCCAAGCTAGTCTAGGCCAGGCCCTTAGACAACGTGCCATTCATCATGATGGTCCTATCGGGTGGTGAGGCTTTTATTATTATTTTGGAGGTGTGAGAGTTCGACCTGCTGGGCGACGTGTATGATCGTGGAAGTTCGATCTGATGTGGTTTGCGAAGATGACAGATTCACCAGTATTATATAACTGGCGAGATGAATGAACCCTAACCCACAGGTATCAGCTAGACTTGAGTCATAAAGGGTAGTTTTTTCAATAACAATACATAGAGTCCGGCGGTATAATAAAACTTTTAGAGGCATTTAGACTTACTTTTCTCGAAAGAGCCTGCACTTGTTCTCGATTCCGGTGTTGCACTTGAATCATGTGAGATCACTCGTGTCTCATTCGCCCAGCATATTCAAGATCCTCCAATGAGCTACTACACCATTACCGTGTTGTATTTTCTTTTGTTGGTTGGATATAGAACTGGAGATGAGAAGAGAAGAGGTCTGGAAGGCTGGATCTCGCAGATATATATAAGGTGTGGTACTTCAAATAAAAATAAAACCACAATTCCAAACCTAAAGGATACGTGAGACTAGTAGTTGTAACTTATAACGTAGCTAACTGCAAGCTAACTAATCACGTATCTCTCTGCCCCTTGGTCTAGTGAAGTAGCTTCTTCGAGCTACGGGGCGGGTTTGATGATTCGTACACGTCACATACACACTAAAATGGTTCTCGGTACAGATGCGCGAGATACTTCCATAGAGTCAACGAGTTCGGTGTGCCTATACTTAATATTCTCAAATAATGCCGTATTACTAATAAATATCGGCACAGATTTTGAGGTGATTCCATGTAGCCAAATATTCAATTAATGTGACACCCAAAATATCATTTGTCACGTATTGAATAGTAATGTTACTAACCAAGGGGGGCCGAAATTATTTACAAGCCACGTCACGCTTCTATGATTCACAGAGAGGGAGATTTTTGGTCCGATGATTGGGTATCACTCACGCCTTCAAGATATAAACACACGAAAAGGGTATTTGAACAAAAGAAATCGAAAAAAGAGTCCAGTGGAATAACATACAATAATGAATAAGAAACCCAAAAATAAACGAGAAATGAGAAATAAGACCGAAAGCTGATTGTGACATGAGATAGAAAAGATAAAACAAAAACGAAATAAAAAATACTCCAACTCCAATCCCCAACCAAGCCCCAACCAAAACCTAAATTCCCAACCCTAGCCATTAATGATAATAAGGACCGCCTCCCATTCTTCCTGGGGTCCCCTGTGGCCCCATGCCCCATGCATCTTGCCACCTAACCTTATTTTCCATCAGAACTGGAGAGCCTAATCCGCTGCCACTAGAAATGCTATCATATCTCTTGCTCTTTTTCCTTCCTAATCCCCCACCCATAACTGGGCTACTCTCAACATCTCCCATCTCATCATCTCCATCATCCCCGCTCTCAATATCATTCATTCTCCCCCCTGATACCTCTGATGTTTCGCGCTCATTATCGTCGCGGCTGTAGTTTGGTACCGCTGCAGTCGAAGGCAAGGGCTCGGCAAGCCTCCAGGTCCTTGGAACAGTCCAGCAGTGGGAGCGGAAATGGCTCCGTTCATCGGCCGTGCTAGATCCCGATAAACCTGATGAATCCATGCCACGCTCACCACCATATTTCCATGGTGGGGTACCCCGAAGTTTTGGACAGAGGAAGTAATCAACACCCTCAGTGTATCTGATTCCTGGTGCATCGACAGCGACTGTAGCGAGGGTTTGTAAGATTCCATAGATAAGAATCCATCTCCCCTTTCGGGCATCATGTGGGTCAATTTCTGCTGCGGAAATAGACTTCTCGTGCTTTGCAAATGCATCCACCAGATCATTTGATACTGATGAACTCATGAGAGACATGATATTGGTCGACTCTGATAATGACAATGCAGCAGCTTTATCGGCGGTGGCAGGGGTAGTAAACGCTGATGTCGGCGTATTTGTGATTGAACCTCTTCTGGCACCTTGAAAGAAACGATTCTTGAAACCTCGCCCCATAACCATGGGTGGTGGCACTAATGGGAACGGATATGGCATATGCGGATAATTTTGCTTCTCATCAAATGTGATTAGAATATCAGTGATGTGAAGTTCCTCGTCGTCTGCCCGCCAGTGTGGTGATTTATGATTGACGAGTTTGTTTCCGGCAACAGTGTTGTTTGGTTTATTTACCACACCAGCGCCCTGGGTATTGTTCTGGCGGGGGTGGTGGGTTTGGGCATTACTGTTACTCCACGACACATCCCTGTCGACTAGATAGTCATAAAGCGCCGAGAAATCTCGCTGGAGCTGGACATATACCATTCTGCTCAGGCGGCCATCGGGTGTGTGAGGCGGCCATGACCCAAACCTTGAGGAATAGTGCTTGATCAAAAACTTTTGGAACTTATCAAATGCTGCCCTTGCATGTGGTGCTGCTGAAGATGTGGTAGGCCACATGTCAGTGAAGTTGAAATTGCTCAGTCTCTGGTCCGCACCAGCAACACGGACTTGAATCTCTAATGAGGCTCGGTCGATCAGAGCCTTTGTGATGGGTGATATGTCTCTCCACTCTCCGCCCCCTTCCAGCCGCGCCAGCATTCCTGTACAATGAACGAATCCTTCCCGCCATAGGCCTTCTATGCCTCCTACCATCTCACCACCACCTAACCCGCAACCCAAGGCTCCAGATGCACTAGCCCTTTCCGCCCAGACCACAAGACCTGCAGCACCTTCAGGCCAGTTACGAACATCATCAAAATCACGACTTTTGAGGTAATCAATTATGATCTTTTGGGTGCTCATTTGCCCCTTGGGGCTCATAAGACTTCCGTAAGGAGATTCGATTTCTGATACTCCATGATCCACAAGATCGTAATTCAGGGGGTTCGGAGGGCTAAGATATAAGTCCATTCGGTCGACGAGGTCAAGCAGAGTCTGACCCAGTGTCATACCTACTAGCGCTTTGTTGAAAAGGACTGCAAAGAAATTGCGTGTGGTAAGATGATGCTTGTGGGTTGCAAGCTTGTCACCACCCATTTGCGCAGGGAAATATAGTCTGTACTGAACGCCTTCCTCGCTGTTTGCGTCGCTCCTACTCGACTTCTTCTGTGAGCCAAGCTGGTATTCAAACTCCATGCTTGTAGGTGATATCCCATCATCAGATCCATTTGCACCTGTATACCGAGGGGGGGTTAATGGTCGCTCTCTAAAGGATTCTTCGAGCGCGGCTATCAAAAATGGTGATTCAGTCTTTCTTAGAATGGATGAGTGTAGTCGAAATGATGCTTTCGGCGGTGGTGGTTTGTAAAGACCTTGAGGATTTCGAGGTATTATTGGCCGTTCGGTAAGATAAACTAGTGTATCACCATCCGGGAACCATAACTCCAGGTCCTATCGACAAATTATTAATAAAGATTCTGATATTAAGGGAAGGAACATAGTATATACCTTTCGTCCTTGCCCTCCACCTTCCCATAATTCTTCTCGTCGCCCGCCGCCCTCCCATCGTTTTACCTCAATCTTTTCACCTAGTGACAACATGCCACCACCCAACCCCAATCCTAACCCCAACCCATATCCACTTTGGTGCACATCTTTCTTCCCAAGACCCGAACCACTACTCAACCTCCCTCTAATCTTCTCACTATGGCTATCAAAGAAGCTCCTCAAGGCGCTCTTCCCAATCTTTGGGCCCGAATGCGACAACTGAATGCTCCCGCGCGAAGATCCCGACACAGACGACACAGACGGCGTCAGCAAACCCCCAGAGCCAATCTTCGCAATACCCTTCGACCCTGTCCGCGAGTGAGAGGTTGTCGAAGGCGAGGACGGAGATCCCGAGGCGGAGATTTTGTCGAGCTTGACTCGAGCGCGGGCGGAACGTTGTGCCATGTTTGGTTGCTTGTATGATGGTTGTGGAGGAGCTGGTTGTTACGAAGTGGGAAAGAGCTTGATCAGTCAGACTACTCGGACTTTCTCTCACTCGTTGCACACACAACACTGCTTGCTTGCTTGCTACTGCAGGGCTTTTTCTCTTATCTTTGGATAATATATTATAACGTAACAAGGCTGAGGCTGAAATAACGAACTGATAACGGAATTCGAGTAACCACACACAGAAATATGTAAGCGATGGGGGGGTAGTGGTGCCCGGGGATTTGATTAAAACTCAAAGGAAGGGAGAGAAAAAAAATTAAAACAAGGGAGAGAGACAGGTAACTGGTTTAATATGAAAATGAGAAGAAGAAAAGAAAGGAAAAAAGGAGGAAGGTAAGGTGAGGTGAGGTGAGTAGAGTTGAGGTAGGGTTGGGTAATTGGAGTAGATAAAAGAAAGCTGATATGTTGGTAGCGGTGGTACTACATATGTACGGTACTGTAGGTACTCATGTAGGTCATGGTGGTGGGCTAGAACTAGGAAACTATGGTGGGGACCGCCGCAGTGAGGACGGCGACTGGCTCAAAAGGTACAAAGTCGCAAGTACCAATCTGTACGACAGCTCAAAAAAGCCCACGCGAAGAACATCCCTTACCAGGGATTCTCCAGAAAAGCAAGTGGAAAAAAAGAAAGGAAAGGAAAAATAACACACAGACGGAGAAGAAGCTGCTAATGAAGCTACTCTACATAGTTACTCTAGTAGAGTCCGGCGGAATTCAATTCGTACTCTACCGGGCGTCCATAGAGCACAAACCAAGACATACACACACCCAACAAACACTCGACTACTACTAGTAGCAATCATCATCAAGGATGATTCTTCCGTCATCACAATCGTAATATAACTCACTTACGAAATAGTTTTAGTTGCTCTCCCCGCCCCCTCTGCAAGAACCGAGACAACGCCTCTTAAAGGTATCGTGACAGAATTAGATATTCCGAGTAACGCACTACTTCTTAGCACTTGGTTGTGGTAGTTGTGGTGGAACGACAAGGTCGTGGAGTGAGTGGAAAGAGGATGAGAGGACAAAAAGTCCTGCGTGGTCCACAAGATGATCGCCGGACAGCGGGCCGGGCTGACCTACCCTTCCTATCCGTCCACGGGGTTGGCTCTAGAGTAGCAAACGATCGAACGCAGTTGAAGGTTCCAAAAGAACCCTTTAGCGCTCGATGTGAGCGGATAACCAAAAGTAATATAGGTCTAGTTAATTAATAGCTGAGATCTGAATCAACCTGGAGTGGGCGAAGATGGGACCTAGGGGGATGATTTGTAGTGTTGTTCTACCCAACGCTGTAGAGTTGATAGGTACCGTAGGTGCAGGTATTCTCCTAGGTAGTTCTACCGAGAAACAGTTATCATGTCGGATCGGTGTGTGTCTTACTCTCCCCCCCAAACTCAGATTCTCTAAGCCGAAAATTTTCTTTCTTTCGAGGCTCGGCGACGTGTATGGACTCTGGAGTATCTCTATGGCTCCAATGGGGTGGATGGGTTGTGATCTGTCTGTAGGGTATCTACAATCGGCATAGAATAGTACGGATGTTCCTAGCTGCTTCTTTCCCCCCTAGTCCTCCCATCCTACATGAGTACGAGCCTTGGCCAGTGCCTAGGGACGATACTATTCCACCCGAGACCCAGGAGGCGGGACTTGTTCGGTCAACTCCTCGGCAGAGTAGGTCACTGTATACGTAGGTGCAACTATTGCCGCCTACGAAGTTCGTTAGAGTACTATTGTGTACCTATTCCAATTATGTATTCGCAGGTGGAAAAAAGAATGAAAAGTAGAGTGGAATCCCTTACAGCGCGGGGAAACAGCCTCCTTCAGGATCCGATCTGGGGTGGCGGTTGTTGAATTGATCCAGTCGGATGTCTCTGCGTTGCTCGTGTGTGCGCGAAGCACGTGCTTTTCTTATTTATTCCATTACGCTATTGCTCCTTCCTAGCTGTGAGGGCTGATCTAATAGGCACATAAAATGTAGGGTGTCCAGGTATACACGTTTAGAACTATTTAGAACTACGTATTTTCATCGTAATAAAGCATATTTGTAATTTAGTGGGGGGACGCGCGCTACTCTGGAGGTATGCTGCTAGCCTTACCGCGCAAACCTTCTTTAATTCCTTATTTCCCCGCAGGATTCCAACATAGATGCTCAAGGCTTTGCGTCTGATTTTCAATATAAACTACATGCTGTTGATCAACACCGTGCCAATGGGGTACATGTAGCATATTCTTATTCCGTGATACAATGACACCTCACCGGTTGTTGACTCTGCCTCCTCCCGCTGCATGCCTCTTTCCCACATGTTTAGTAGCAGAGCAAACGGTCAGAGACAGGTGCTCCTTTCTATGATGCGCCTTGAACAGAATCACCCCCCCCCCCCGCATTTGGAGCTCAAAGCAGGTCTCCACCGAGTCCAGATCACTTCTAGCTTAGCCTCCCAGGGCAGATCTCCGGCGGTATAAAGACCCCGAATTAAAGATCACAAAACACATTCACTTTGTTTTGATTCAATTGTGGTTAAGGGTATTGTACCCCATGAGTTGAATCGAACTGAGATTTTGTTTGATTGCTCACATTATACTAAGCTAGCTAGTTATATAGACAACGGTGGGTTTAATTTCCGTGCATCCTTGCGCTAGCAATGAAGCGAGACGAACAGGCAAGGGGGCAGCATCATAGGAACGCCCGAGCGCGCTTAGAAGCGAAGGACGAGGCCTGTAATTTGAGAGACGGAACAATGGGACGCTCTAGAACGATGAGATGGAAGAATATATTCCTCAACACCTGAGCGTAGGATCTAGGAGCTCGAGTTCCGTCTTAGACCCTCGACATTTCATAAACTACATAAAGAAGTAATCAGCCAGCAGAGTCTTTCAGCCGTAGTTAGCTGGGGAGGGAGAAATATACCTATCATATCATTTTTCTTTCGCCTGTCTCTAACCATTGTCCCTGATTATCCTCTAGCAGCTGTTCCCACAATTGCCTCACCTACTCTACAATTAACCGTAATTGCATAACGCCACAACCGGGGATCACTTCTCGGAACTCTTCCGAAGATTTTCAGCTGAGTCTCTTATAACACCCAAGCCTTTCTCCTTCCCATGTCGATGAGCTAACCCTTCTATAAATTTCACGTCCACCACCCGAAACTTCGGGCGGAGGTAAAGCGGGGGCGGGCGGATTTGAGGTCGAGGTGGGAAGGTAGTCCGTTTGATCTACTTTGTGAAGATGGGATGCGGGGTCGGGGAGTTATTTGTAATTGTGCTTGGGGATAGATACACCAGCAGGTCGAGTGAATTAGGACTGGGTAGAGATGATCAGGTACAAAGAAGCGACTTACTCAATTACGGTCATTTCGGAAAGAAAACCAGACGAAATAGTAAAGGTTTAGCGCGTTTCTCTGGCTAATACCAATGAGAATAACAATGATACCGGTTAGTCCGAAATGTATACATGTAAGCAGACTACATGTACTTACCCGAAAGCCCTATTGATAGGGAATAATCATAGAATATCACTCGACATATATGGGCGCTTAACAGATTTGGGGTGTCGCCCACAGAACACGCAAAAACCCAACTGAGGTGTTTGAAGAAAATGTTTCCACCAAACCCCAACTCTATTTAAACCAGGTAGCCTTACCCGATCTGTTTATGATCATGATCATATGGCACCAAAGAACATTTGCCATGCCTCTTGGTAAAGACTCCAACTCCAACATAACACGGTCCAGTTCTTGGCTCTCCGGAATAATCCGAGGTTCCGCGTTTAGTTATGATGTCGAATACTATACAGAGCCAATGGGGTGTAGCCGCCGTAGACGGGATAACGAGATATATACCCATGCATATGATTTGGGACTCAAGCCAGATGCTTGTAAAGACTCCAACATGCAGATAACAGCACAGTGAAATATGTTCTCTTACTTAGCCCTTCGGGTGATTCCGTTCAATAGATGGTTGCATCGTGTGTGTAAGGATCTGAGAGAAAGCTGAAGCCTCTCCAGGTGAAAATTCATCCTGGAAGAGTGATATGTGAACCTGACGACTACACTTCTCAACACAAACCCTCGGTGAGGATCAGTAGCCTTGCTTATCATCTGTGACTTAGAACGGAAATATCCGGCGAGCTCTGGTTTTCTGTCCATCTGTCTCTCAGAGGGAAATCTTTAAAGTCAGAGTAGCGGGCCTAGAAATGTCTTAGATGACATGGTTCAAACTTTCGGCTCGTGGGCTGGGGATCCTATCACAGTACCTCTGGTGCGAAAAGCGGAGGTATCCGATAGTAGATGTGTTATTTGTTCGACCTTTCCCTAAGTTCTCAGAATGGATTTGAAAGCTAGGATGTTACGATCATGGTTAGGAAAAGAAAATGGATGTCTAGCTCGGCAGTCTTTCTTTCTCATCTGACAGATGTCATATACTTCGTGGCACAACTTCTTTATAATTACCGTGTCTTCATTACATGTGTTCTTCAAGAAACTCCTAAAATGGGTACGTACTTATTGATTGCGAGGTTTTTATTCCCAACTAACGTCGTCAATTGTGCCATGTCACCGCGATATTGTGACATTGAGGTTTCTTGGCATATTCTTTACCTAGGTTTCACTCACATTAATCGCCCAAGGAACTCCCATATACCAACAGTAACAGCGAAAGTGCAACAATCAGCGTTCTTCATATATATGATCATCTCCTTCTGGAAGTATTCGACTCCTGCTCGATTTTATCGGCTGTGGTTTATGTGATGCCCTTAATTGTAGACTCAACAGGTGGTAAAAACTTGTATCAGGCTTAGCTTTAAAGTGTTTCATTTTTCTTCTGAAACTTCTTCTCTTTCAGGATATATATATCCGATTACCTTCGATTCCCCCTTGCTTCATCGGCCACCAAGTCCACTTTGCGTCACTCGTTACTCTTAATAGGATGATATTCCCGGGAATATGCGTGTGGTCTCA